AGCTTCAACTATATTTTCAGAGCATGCTATCAAGTCACTTTACCTTATCTCCTAAGTCCCACTCATCCCTTGGAACCATAAACCAACATTCAACTCTGTGGGTTTCTTGTCATTATTCTATTTTTTAATATATCTCCATTATTATGAACAGCTGGGACAATCTTTGCAGAGTTCTATATCAAGGAAGACCAGTGATATGTTCACACCCTGGACAACATTAATTCATAAAATCAAATTTATTAGAAATTCTCCTTTTATCTTAATTGAAAATTACATATTATACAATGACAGATACTATATTAATATCTAAATCAAATACTGTGTGATATTTGTAAAGTATCAAAATTAAATGAATTTATTGTTCTCTTCATTTCTAAGCATGTTGAACATTTTTTTCCTTGAGCCCAGAGTTAATAAAAAAAAATCACATCACATATTTTTCAGGCAAAGGGGGCTACAAGTGCTAATGATGTGAATAAATTCAAAGAAGTTTTTATTTGACCTTCATAGGATAAGTTTTACATTTTAGTAAGAGTTTCAAATTTGCCTATTGGAAAAGGAAGATGAGGAAATTGATAGATTCACTAGACCCACTTAACCTGAGGACAAATGTGAAACACAAGAACTAGTCATACCACTAAAGATGTGCAGACTTGTCTCCGGTTGACAACTGCAGGCTCGGCAAACTAGTGAGTGACTAAGACTTCTGTCACCAACAGCCTGTGAGAGTGCAACAGAGTCCAGGGGTGCATGCACCAAAAGAAGGGATAAACAGTTCACGTCTCATCTGTAGATACAGGCTCATTTTTAAAGTTTCTATCAAAACTTTCAGAAAATCACTTTAAATTATTTTTGAACATTTTTTATTGGAAACTTGGCTAAAAATAATTTCATATCTTTATGCTTTCTTAAATAGAAGGCACAGAACATAATTCGATGCATTCAAGATGACTCAGAGCCGCCACCATAAAGATCAATCATCACATCAGGCTGTATGATATCCTGAGGGTTTATTTCCTTTCATATTCACAGGCTATCAGTTCCACCTTTTGGCATTTGCTGCTTTTTCTCTAAGTTGATGTGAGAATACTGACTTATAAGACTACTCGATTTGTAAAATATTTAAGATTCAATAAATTCTAAATCAAAAACATACCAAAACACAAGCATGGCTTTTTCCATAAAGGAAGAGAATTTTGTTGTGCCAACTTTATGACAAGTTATTTTAGCAGTGTCCAAAAATCTTTTTGCATGCATCCTTAGTGACCTGGAGTATGTATTCAGGATGTCTCTGGGATACAGATGGTTGAGAATGAGAGAGAAATGAGAGATATAAAGTATAATGTCACTCACTATCCAAAGAAAAGCTCAGAACTTGGTATTAATAAAATCAATGTTGTGTTGAGTAGGAATTTATTATCTATGCACATCATCTTTCTGTGTAATATTAATATTTGACCCCAAGAATTTAATAAAAATAGAAATAACTTTCTTGCTATTGAGAAGGGAGTTTTTTCCTAATGTTTACAGGCTTTAAACTTCAACAAAATCAACATTCTTATTCTACATAGCCTTTCACTGAATCAAGTCTACAAGTACTTCAAATTGTTGAAAGAGCATGTATCAGTATGGTGAGATGTGCAATCATCTGACAATCAAAACCCTTAGTTACAGTCATCTCTTGGTATCCACAGAGGATTGGTTCCAGATTTTCTCATGAATATAAGTATCAGACTCTGGGGATATTTAAAATACTTTATATAAAATGACATAGCATTTACATATAACATAGTAATATCTTCCTATATACTTTAAATCATCTCTAGATCACTTATAATACCTAATGCAATGTAAATATTATGCAAATAGCTATTATACTACATTTTTAAGGGACTGGTGAAAAGAAAACTAAGACTGTGCCTGTTAAACATAGACACAATTTTTTTTCCAAATAGTGTTCATTTTCAGATGGTTGCATCCACAGACGTGGAACCTGAGGATTAGGAGGGCACCTGTACTTCTTGAAACCTCTTTTATCCAAAGCCATGACATTTGTGAGTAATGAGAAAAAAGGGGAGGATTTAACTGGGTAAGTTTGCTTACCAATGATAACCTCAGAGAAATGGGTGGTGAAGAAAATATAGCATATTGAAAAGAAATATTATTCGTCTTAACCTGATTTTGATTTTGGTTCCATGAACCAGAATGAACACTCCATAAGGGGGAAGATAGTCCCATCTAACGTCTTACTGGACACGCAGCATCCTGCAGTCAAAGTCAGATGAACCAGGGTTAGATTATCAGTAACTGATGACTAGTGAAAAACATTTAAAGGACATTACTAAGACTTTTTCAACTCTAGCACCAACATACCTACCTCAAACGATTGTGCTTATTGAGATTTATGTATCTGCAATGTCTAATGCTCTCCTTTCATGTTCTCCTTCCTCCTAGTGACATTTATCTGGTGCTTCTCCCACCTTGATAGCCTCATGGATTGCATAGGTTTTTGCCTTAGGCTTCTATATCCTTGGGCTCTGGACTCATAAAGGTGCTTAATAAGCATGGTTTTTGTTCTGATACATGTCAGTAAGAATCCATTTTGTTTTTTTAAATTAAGCCGAAGCATCTTCTGACACATTTTACTTTTGTTCTATCAACAGCTTGTGCTAGCTGGGTAAACACCAGAATTAGAAAGAGGGGTAAAATACCACTGCTACCTTCAAGGAGCTTAAAAACAAATGGAAGAAATAAGTCACATAGCAGAAACCACATGATCCTACACACACCAATAATGAAGAAGACCTAGAACAAAGCAAAGTGCACAGTAAGAATAAATGATATTGTAGGCAGAGGAAGGTGGCTTCTGAACTTTCATGAGGCAGACATTGGCTGAACTTCATACCACACTTAGAATTATTTAATAGTCTCAGGCTTCTGTGCTTATGCCATGCTTTTCAGAACTTTTTTTTTTCAAATACAAATCTCTGTATGTGTGTACATACATATATAAAATCTCCATGTATAGAAGTTCTACAAAGAAGATATTCCAACAAAACTAGAATATCTGGACTAATTCATTAAGAACCCCAGGAGCCCATTTGGTTTCAATACTAATAGAAATTTAGAAACTATTCAGAGAGAGTCTATTTGAGACTATCTGAGAGTCATTTTAGAAGCAGGATCCTCAAAGGAATGATTCCATTCTTTCCTCCACTGTATTCTCTACTGTGCTGTCAGATTAATCTTTTCAAAAATTCATGTCTCTCCATTACTAAGAGCTTCTTAATGGATAAAGTTCAAATATCCTAAAATAGAATTTGACATCATTTATAATGTCTCCATCTTCTGTTTTTACCTTTTTTATTTTTTCAAGTCTCACTACCTTCCTAACATTGCACCACCCTGGCTCCATGTACACTACACATCAACTATGCCAGGAGTAGTTACTGCTACCTAGCTTTACTGTTTTATCTTTATTTCAATATTGACATGGGGCTGAGAATCTCTGCAGTTACTGAGTGTACTTCCTTCCCCATTTCCATCCTAATTCATATGCTAGCTCTTCTATAACATTTTATTCAAACCCTGTCCTGCTCAAAGTTCCATCCTTGGGTTATATATCATTTTAATATACCACCAAAATAGTGAAAAATTACATTTTATTATAGCCATATACCCAACTTACCCTCAGAAGCAAAGGTCATAGTCCTGTTTTCAAAGTTCCAGAACACACAATAGTGCTCAGTATACTGACAACCAAATTGGAGGGACAGCATATCAGCTGGCTGCAGCTTTCTGTATAGAATATCTAAATAAGATCTCTAAAGAAGTATCAGTAATTCTTGATTACTAGGCTTTTGACTTGAACTACCCTCTCCAAGTAGATATTTGGAAACTTGTCATATTACTTAAATTACTTTCATAAATCTTTCAAGTGGTTAAAATCTCAAACATTACACTGCATAAATATATAATATAATAGAGACATACTGAACAAATTGTAGAGCAATATTACATAATAGTAGAATAAGTGCTCAGGAGTAAATAGGCTAAAGTTAAACAGAAACAGAGGTAGGTCAGTGCAGATAGGAATAAACCACACTTCTAAGAGTCTAGAAAAATCCAAAAATACCTAAGGAGGGTCCTTTAACAGATTATGGGTCTAAACTACACCAAAAAGACATTCCAATTATAGTTAGGAAAGACTTCCCGATACTGTATGCTGTTTAGTAGTAGAAATTACAATGTAAATCCAATAGTCAAGAGAGAAATACTAATGAGCAGGTAAAGTTCTGAATGTACTGATCACAGTACAGTTCCAGATGACTACAAAAGATTAACGGTCTGATGTGAGCTTTATAACAAATTGAAGGGAGACAAATTTCAGGAAACTCTTCCTCATGGATTTAAAAAAAAAAAAAAAAAAACAGGATTTAAGGAGTTCCAATATGGGAAATTCTGATAATGACCTTGAAGCCTCTTTCTGGTTCTAACAGCAATGTCATTTGCACCCAAGACATGGTACTCCAGGAAAATGAGAAAATACATTCTTATATAGTTCTCATTGTTTTTTGTTCATAAGTTCAAATTATTTGACTATTCTTGAAATCTTTACATCACCAAGGTTTCTTATACTTGGGGATGTCTAAATTTAAATATTACATTCAAACAAATAAAATGTTCTACATGAGCCATGTGTGGTGGCACATTCCTATAATCCCAGTGGCTCCATAGGCTGAAAGCAGAAGGATCACAAGTTCAAAGCCAGCCTCAGCAACTTACCTAGGCTCTAAGCAACTTAGTATGACCCTGTTTCAAAGTAAAAAATAAAATAAGATAAGGGATGGGGATGTGGCTCAGTGATTAGTGATTAGGTGCACCTACGTTTAATCCCCAGTACTATTCCAAAAAGTTCTATTTTGATTTTGCTGTTAATATGAAGGAAAAACAAAGACAGGACACATTGCATCATAATTTAAAATATACAAGGAAATTAGTTAGGATAAATATTTATTTCCACATAACATTTGTTTTGAAAAACAATATCCTAGTCACATTTACACATTACTTAAACTTTGCAATAAATTACATTCAATATATTCAGTAATTCTGACCAGGAATCTGAAATTAAGAGTAAATATATAACACTACATTTTTCTTATGTTTTATATGATTTCAAAATATTAGGATTAACATAGAGATAGCATTAAAATTCACACAGGAACAAAATGACTATAAAAATACTCAGAAATACAGAATTTCATTGAATATGATTGCTTATTCAAATCAGTGATCACATGAAGTTTTTAATTCACTGTGATCATTTTTAACTGAACAGTTAGTAATATATTAAAACACTAGGAGACTGCTTTTGGGACTGGCTGGCTAAATCATAAAATAATGGAAATGTTTACAGTGTATATCAGTATTATAAAATACAAAAAGGCAACCTATTTAGAACAGAAAGTTTCTGTATTTTTTTCTTCAGCATTTATAAAGACAAACTTTTTAAACTGCAAATTCTTCTTCCCATAATTTTTTGACTCATGTTCCATTTTTAAAAAATGACTCCTTCAAGGATTGTGAGGAAAATGTTTTTAGAAGGTATCAAAATGTGAAATCTATTGGAGGATTTGTTGCTTTTTTCCCCCTTATTAGCTTAATCACAAAAAGGAATTTATTCTACTTTTCGTGTGCATGTACAGAGTACATGAATAATAGTATATAAAAGCCAAGGGGCTCAGAAATATTGTAAAATTGGACATTGAAATATTTTAAGTGTGATGACCACTGATTACTCAAATTTAGTTTTTATTCATTTCACATTCATCTAAAATGAAATTAAATATTACATTTTTTGTAATGCTCAAACCCTTAACTTTCCTTCTTCTTGCATAAGCTTATTAAATATGGATTATTTCATATGGACTAAAATATCTACAGAAACTTCTCAAACAGAATCTGAAATTTTCACTTAAAAGATTGTTTTTCCACAACATGCATTTAATTAAAAAGTGGAAAAGAGCTTTGCAGAAAAAAAAAAAAATTACAATTGGAGACCTTTTGGTCTTCATTAGAACATGATTCAGGACCAACATTAAGCAGTACATGACCATTAGTAGCAGAATAACTGTACAGAAGTGGAATTTCATGTATGATAATTTATCTTGTGTTACTCCACAAGTATGTATTTATAGGTTTATTTGGAAAACATCTCTTGTCAATGGGAGAGAAATTTAACAGCACATTTCTGATAAATCCCACAAAACCATTACAAAGTTTTTCTAAAGCATTTCATACAAGCCTAATATTTGATCATGTATTCACAACTTGAATTTTAAGCAAATACTAGTTGACTCATTGCATTAGTATCTGATTGTTTTTAACAAGCTGTGAACAGGTTATAGATTTTTTTTTTCAAATGACTGTAAGTTTTGGTTACATATAAATTCTTAAGTATTAAATCAAGGAAGTGCATAAATATTATTATTAAAAATGCTTTCAAACTAACTGTTTGATTTTTTTAAGTAAGTCACTAATGCTAATCTATAAAAATAAAAAGAAGTAAGACTACCTTTCAAAATTCTTCTGAATGAAATTATCAGGCATCTTCAGGTTACTAAAGTAGGAAAATACAAACTAGGCAAATATGACTTATCTCTTTAAGAAAGCTATTGCTCTCATAAAGCTGACAATGAGAATTCAGTGTTTATAAATGTCTTACAGCAAGGAACACAACACGGATTCTTGCATTAGCTATTGTATCTGCTCACAAGGTTGTCTCACTTGCTCAGAAGGTTAAACACAGAAATGAAACAAGTATTGCACTACTTACAGTATGAAGGTGGATTGGGGATGAGAAACAGAATTTACAATACATGATCAAAGCAGTTTTATTAATAATTGTGACATATATATGAAAAAAAAATAAATTGAAGATCAAGTCATAGACAAGTCTCCCTGTCAACACCTTTCCCTGAGTCAGCTTTCTTCTCTTTTCGGCTTTCAGTGCTACAAGGGAAAAGAAAGAGAAATTTATTACTGTAATCCAGCATGGCTACATTGAGATTTGCTTGCTTTACACACAAAACCCATCAACCCCCGAGCAACACAAGAGCCTGTAGGCACTGCTCTCTCATGCTTCGAAGCAACAATTAAAATCCTCTGCACTCATTGAGATAGAAACCAAGAACTGCAGAGAGGGGGAAATTCAAAAACAGACACAAAAAACAAAACCCAGACATTTTAAAACAGTTCTAAAGCATGCAAGATTAATAACATGATCTACTTTTAGGAAATGAATCATTGATGATTGTTGAAAATGCCAGTCATGCCCCATTTTAAGATAGCACTAACACCAGTAAATGACACAAACAAGATGCTGCCAGAGGTATTTCTGGACTCTGCATGTGGCCCCTCCTTTGTGCATGAACTGGATCTTGATCTTTGGTGAGGATTGGGTCTCAGTCAGGTAATACTGACATATCTCCCTGATCTGTGTATGGGTGACTCTGCACTCTGCTCTCCAGATGCTTTTGCAATCTTTACAAACTAGCCCTCAGCCTTTACATCAGAGGAATGTTGCTTCACTTCACTTCACTTCTAGAATAAACTCATTCCTGAATGGTTTCTGTTTAATCTCACCTTCTAATCAACTTTACTGATGGTCAAGCTGGTAATGTAACTCTACCATTTTTGTCTATTAGGTCAATATTTTCTCACTGTATATTTCTCCTACTCTTCCAATGAAGTGTTCATGGAAAATTCCAATAACATGCTCAAATACATGAAGCTCACATAGAGAGTGCTTCCAGTAGGATGGAATGCTTATTCCCCTAGTACCTCCAGTGCACAGCAGAGCCCTCTTAGTGGAGGACATCTCTGTGCCCCTCGCCACTGATGACACAGGATAACCTACAACCAGCCTCTGAAGCCCTAAATTGGAAGAATCCACAGCATTTTATGGTTAACTTCAACCCTTAATATACATTTATGAATCAGTTGAGGGGAAGACATCCTGGGGTTTTATAACTCTTCTCCAAGTTATAAAGTAATCAAACTCTGTATTTCTATGGGTCTTCCTATGCAGCTTTCTCAGTGGTCAATAACTTAGACACATTCTAAGAGTGTGTTTTTAAAATTGTTTTTCCTCCAATTCAAGCTAGAAACAGCCCTTCTCAGTTGTCACCACCACCCGGCACCATCAGGTAAGAAGTGCCGGAGCTTCTGCCATCTGTGGCACGCTGCCAGCGCTCAGAGCTGGTGTGAGCGAGTGTCTATGGCACCCGGGTTTATGCCTGCCACACTTCTCAGCACATACTCCTTACAGGTCAGAGCAAAGCAACTTTTTTTCCCTTTTCTTTTCTCTTTCCATGAGAAGAGATGACAGTGTGCACATGATGTGTTGAGAGTCTTAACTCTGTATTTTTAACTCCTCTATCTGTATGACTCACTTTCTTCTACTTTAAATTTCTTTTATATGACAAGTGTCGGATATCCTGCTTTCAACATTAACTTTTCCTTGGGCTTTACCTGGCTCCCAAATTCTTCTGCCAAACAAAGCCAATGTAAGAAGGCAGAATGGGCAGTGCAGGGACCCCTGGGTTTGGAGTTGGAAGATCTGGGTTCAGTTCCTAGAAGCTAAGAATGAGCTGCATGACCTTGTGACAGTTATTTAATCTCTCTGAAACTCAGTATCTTCATCTATAAATTTGAGTTTTGTACCAATGGCCTCTAATTTCTCTTACAGCTCAATTCCAGCATACTGACACTGGTATTTCCATTTCCAGTGGACTCTGCCTTATGAAATATTTAACAGGAAATTGTGAAGGACAATTGTACTGGCGTTTACAACTGTACAATTCCTATGCATATAATACTTTGGAACATAGGAGGCGGTCCATGACCTTTTGATAAATGAATGAGTTCTCAATGGCACTGTTAGTCACCAGGCAGTGAAGAAAAAAAAAAATCTGATTATCAACTTGATCCACAGATGAGCTTCCTTCTGGTCTGCTTCAGTTATATTGAGTCTTTTGGTTATAAAAGACTGTTTTTCCCTCATTAAAATTATTGGTTTTGCTATCAAATTAGATTTCAGCAAACTATGAAGCAGAAATTTTATAACTAGTTCAAGACTTCTGTGAAAAATATTCTTAGTTTGAATTTTCTTTTTGTATGGCTCTCCAGATTCCCTATTAAATCATTGTTTAGATGCCAGTCAATTTACTGCTTTAATTATTACAGATGCATATTACATATATATTATGTATTATTGCAAAAAAACATACTGCATATCTGTTATGTGCCAGACATTCTGCAAAGACCTAGGAATACAATATAGATAAGACTATCTTTGTACTTGAAGAGTTAAAATTTAAAATGTAAGCAAGTAGTATTTCAAGAGAGGAAAAAGTGACCCAATACTGTCATGCTGCTAAGAAATCTATGAAGCTGTTACTTTTCGGTTGTACTAAAAGCAGTTATTATGAACAATATTTACTGAGCAGTGATTAGAGAGACTAGACCTAAGAAATCAGAGCAAAGGAGAAGAATCCAGGATAGAATAAGATTGTGGGGAGTGCAGGGGTAGGCTGGGGAGGGAGAAGCAAAAAGAAGTTGCCCCAGAGCCCACCCTCTGCCACCAAGGCAAAACCAATGTTCCTTTCCTAGCATTGACAGGTACCTTCCCATGAAAAGTTGATTGTGGGCATCAGTTTTATAAAACACAGCAGTTGCTCACCTATTCTGATGCAATGTGGTCTTTAATGAGACCTATTTCTACCAATCCATCACATAAGCTTCAGAGGAGCTAGTATGTATGGGACTATTAAACTAAGATCAAAAGGAGACATCCTATGGATGAGGTAGAACTTGTGTTTCATTCTTAGATTCTACTTGTTGTCAAACTAGGTAAAATATGTTTGGCAAGTGTGAATGTTAATGAATGAATGAAATAATAAAATATTAATGAAATAATTACTGCTAAACTTTATTACAAAGGGTACCTAAGCTTCTCTGAGTCATATTATAGCCAGGGACAGGAAGGAAAATAACTGAGGGGACTGGATCAAAGGCTGCATTGAACCAGCTTAGGTCTTGAGAGATACAGGTCCTGGTAACTTGACATCTTAGGCCTCTTTTTTTTTTTTTTCTTTTGGCCAATGAATACTCTAACAGGTACCCACTTTTCCTAGTTTCTGGTTGTTATACTTTAGTGCCTTCAACAGATACCAAGAGAAAGTGGTAGTTTTGGCACCATATTCATGTTATTAGGATTGGTGGTTTTAGGATTTCTGAAAGCCACACTCTGTTACAGTTCCCACAGTTAAAAAGATGAAAGATGTTAACCACTCAGAAAGAGATTTTTCATGAGAAAAGCCACAGATTGTATCACATGAAAAAGTAAAGATATCTGGGTAAACGTTCATTCCATAATAGTTTGAACCTCAAGTCAGTGGGAGTGTATATTCAAAGAATGAAAAGTGGTTCTATCAAGTGGTTCTATCAAGGTTTAAAGGATGATCTATTTAAAGTTGGACCTACTAAAAGCACATTACACTGTTTACTAGAGTTAATCTACTTCTGAAGTAATCAAGACATATTTTAAAAAATATGACTAGGTTTTTCTGGTGGAAAGCATAACTTGACTTTAATACTTAACTTTAAGAAGTACTGAAAATTCATGCCATAAAACCTTTTACTTGAACCAAAGAAAAACAGAGAAACAATTTGGGACACGCATCTTTTTAATTCAGGAAGAAAAGCAATCTACAAAATTATTTCAAATTCTACAGATATTTCCCACAGCTGGCATTTTACTTCTTACTTTGAGCTCATCAACCTGGATTTCTTTGTTTTGTTTTGGTTTTGGTACCAGGGATTGAACTCCAGGGCACTTAACCCCAGACCTTTTATTTTTTATTTTTTACTTTTTATTTTGAGATAGGGTCTCACTAGGTTGCTTAAGTCTCACTAAGTCACTGAGTCTGGCTTTGAATCAGCAATTCTCCTGCCTCAGCTTCCCAAGCTGGCCTGGATTTTGTATTTTAAATGTATATATTTTCTTTTTAATCTAAGACTATAGCAGATATTTGGGGGAAAGGATGATAAAGCATGTTTTAGAATAAAACACTGTTGCTGCTTGACCCAAGCAAATAAATATGTGGTGGTTTTGAAGCCCTGTTCAAAGATATCAACCAAAGATCTTGGAGACATTCTACTGAGTAATTTATATTAATATCCTATGGAGTAAGTCTTGGAGGAGTTGAGAGTCAGAGAGACAGAAGAAGACAGAGACAGAGAGAGGACTGCCACCCAGCCCCTGGGGTGAAGACTCTTCTCATCCACTGTTTGTCCTATTTATTCTGTCTGGTGTAGAGGTGACACTGAAGCGGTATGACATTTTGGGGTGACAAAAGCCAGCAACAAGAGATATATTCTCCAAGTATAAAGTAGTCTTGCTTTCTAGTCCATGTTTCCAATTATGACTCATGAAGTCAGGTAAGACTTGAAGGTGGGGATGCTTCATGGTAACATAAATGGAATCTCTGAGTTTCCATTTATTAATTTCCTAATTAAAAGGACAAATTTTCTATTCCCAATCTAAAAATTTAATGTCAGTACTAAATACAGTTCTGTGAGATTTATTGGTTTATATATGTTGCATTTGTATAAGTTGTGGATGGAACAAAGTTTATTCAAGTTTCAGAGCCACTTAAAGAGCTGACTAGTAACAGGAGCAGCATAGAACTCAGTCTGATACTAGATCTGAGCCCAAGACTTTCTATGTCTTTTGCCTCCCCAAAATTCACACGGAAGACACAGGCTGATCAGGTTTCCAGAAGACACCATTTAACATAAGTAAATGCAGCCAAGGAGTAGGTGTAAGGGAGAGAGTCTTACCTTTGGGGAATCAGCTTCTAGAGTGATTAGGAAGGGGAGCTTATGGCAAAATGTAATATAAAAATTAAGTAGAAAAAGTTAATTTAAGGTTATGAGAATAAAGAAACTTAATAACCATAACACCATCCCAAATTGCTTCAATTGCTTTCTAATAAGAGACACTAGCATAGCAAAGGAATTCCTTTTTCTTCAGATTAGCAACTGAGAAGACAGGATGGTATAGTTTAGATTCTTATTTATAAATTCTGGAAAATTCAATAGAACATTTCATTACAATTCTTGATATCTGAGGACATACCTATCCCTCTGCATGCACATAAAATCACCAGAGACAACTCTAGGGGTTGTTCGCATATTTATAAATAAACAAGAATGGGTAGAACTTTTGAGAGCCAAAAGTTTCAGGGTAAGGAGGTGAGTAAAAATTTTCAGGGACCTGAGATAGGGGACTAGCAATATACTGAACATAAAATCCCCACTGTATGTGATATCTCTTTTCAAAAAGGAAATAGGAAGTGGGAAATGTGGGCACACATCTGAGGGGGTCCAGGGTGGGTGATGATGGAATACAATAAAATCATACAGCAAGAGTAGGCCAAAATAAATGTCCAAAAATGCCATGCATTAGAACTCACTTATACCTCTATTTCCCCCCACTGTGCTAGTTTTGGAGTGAGCTTTTATTTTCAAGTGAAATGTTGGAAAACATAATAACATTTGTAAAAAAAACAATTTTGACCATTTTCAAAATGAATTTTCTGAACCATTTTAGATATAAATTTGATAGAAACCAATATCATTCTTTCGCTAGTAGATTGATTTCATAAAATAATTAGAAACAGTACACCTCATTATCTTAAAATTCAAACCTTTTAGAAGGAAAGCTTGACTCCTTATCTTTTGAGTTATCGGCAGTAATCAAAAGGTTCCTCCACAAGGCAGTCTTTGACATTTCATCAGAAATATTTATCACAGATGGATCATCTCTAGTTAGGAGTTTACCAAAAAATGAAATAATAAACATTAAATAAGTAACTGTGGTTATTCAAGGACAGAAACTAAATATAGGACAATTTTATGTCTATATGAATTTTTTTTCCCATTTTTATTGTGGTAAAATACGTGTAATATAAAATTTACTATGTTAGCCATCTTTAACTGCACAGTTAAATGTTATTAAATACATTCATAACATAAAACCACTGCCCCTATCCATCTTCAGAACACTTTCCATCTCTTAACACTGAAATTCTATGTGCATTAAACAATAAATCCCTGTTCCTCCTCTCCCAGGCCTTAGCAACCACTTTCTGTCTCTATGGTTGTGACTACTTTAAGGGCCTCATATAAGTTAGATAAAACAGTATTTATCTTCTTGTGTTTATTTCATTTAGCTTAATGTCCTCAAGGTTCAGCTATGTTGTAGCTTATGCCAGAATTTCTTTCCTTTTAAGGCTGAATAATATTTTGTTGTACATATGTACCAAATTTTATTTATTTTACAGGATTTTTAATAATCAAAAATTAAGAAATATGGAAAGACTCTCAATTATTAGAAAAACTCAAAAGATCTAAAGAAAAGATTCTAATTGTAAAAATACAGATTTGGGCTGCTGTTTCTTTCTTTTTTTCTTTTCTTCTTCCTTTTTCCTTTTCTTCTTCTTCTTATTTTTTTATTTGGTGGAACTGGGGACATGAACCTAGGGCACTCTAACACTGTGTCGTATCCTCAGTCCCTTAGTTTCTTTATTTTCTTTTTATTTGGAGATGTTATCTCTAAATTGTTTAACCTGTGATCTTCCTTCCTCAGCCTCTGGAGTCTCTGGGATAATAGGACTAGGACACCACACCTGACTGGGCTGCAGTTTTTAAAAATTTGTTTCACATAACAGATTAGATTCTACATGTGGACTGCTTAGGCTCTTGCACCTGGCATTTACTGCCATGCAGATCCCTGGTCTGCAGGTGTGGGCCCTGCAGTTGCTCCCACTTACTCAGTAAGCACTGAGTTCTCACAATGATCCATATCGAGCTTTATGCCCCCTCAACCTCTACTTCACCTCCTCCATCTTGCCCTGGCTCATTCAGCCACAATACAATGGCCTCCTGACCATTGTAGAACACTAAAGGTTTCAGGGCCTTGTTCTAGATCTTTCTTCTGCCCTCACAAGTATTTCATCCCACTATATATAACTTCCCTCTCTTTGTTCCAACATCACCTTCTCAGGCTCTTGTCAACCACTCTAATTAGAATTGCTATTTCCATCTCCTCATACCACACCCATCCCTTTTATTTGATGTTTGCCTTCACTGCAGTTTTCACCATCTGAAATACTATATTATATTACTTGTTCATTTTTTTAATGTTCTGTCCTCCATTTCTACTCTACTTTAAATATAAATTTCATAAGGATGTGATTCTTGATCATTCATTCATGTATTTGGTACTCACTTACGTGATAACTGTTTTTCAACAGATGAATGCAGCCTGTATCTTTGGCAGAGCTCTTTCTACATATCTAGGGTAACCTACAATATCAGAGCCTGTACTATACCTGATGCTTTTATTACATTTTAAAATGGCACCAATTATAGGTTACATCCAGGATGCTGCAAAACATCCCCAGGGGTAGAAACAACCAAATGGCAGTAGCAATTAATTATCTACCAAGTGAAATAAAGTTTCTATAACAGAAAATATCTCTCTTTTTGCTATGTGTAGGTAAAACTGCTATGACAAAAATCATGTCCTATAGAAGTCCTAAGCTGACCTCACAGGAACCAAATCAGTGGTTGCTCACAAGAGGGCAACAACTCAACATTGAAGATGGAAAAAAACAAACAAACAAAAAACTTGGGTCTCTACTTTACCCAATCTAGAAAGGTGCTCTTTAATTTCTTTAATCTGCCTGGAAAGAGAGCTTCCTAGTAACACAAAGCATGAGATCAACTAATTTAAAAAGAATCATCATGTGAAACACAAATTTTTCATGATATTACATTACAAGGGGCTATGAGCAAGAGTTTAGAAAGTGCTAGATTAGACAAAGTCAAACTTCATTTTAAAAATCCAGTACTACTTAGATTAGTTCATATGCAGTTGTACATTGTGAATTTTCAAATTGGAATGCAATATGGAATGTTTTCCAAACTTATTTCATTATCAGGCTTTTCTGGGAGTGTTACCCCATGAGACTAGGTTTCCATAGAATACATTTGGAAATATACTGGTTCCACTAAATCAAGAGGATTTTAGATTTTAAGTGTTGCAGAAGGAAAAAAAAAAAAAAAAAGAAAGAAAGTAAAAATGCCTTCTATACTTATACTCACTCTTAAGTGCTATGTAATTTTATTTAAAACTTTTTAGGAAATATGATTTTAGAATATACCCTAAAGCTCCAAAATATTCCTATTTTGTCTTTAACACTATGACAAATTCCTCCCTCAGTGGAAATTATCCCCTGTTGTTTTTTTTTTTTTTTTTTTTTTTTACTGGCAAGCCTTAAATTATCCTTAAGAACACTGAATCCATAAAATTGGGTATTAAATGGTACTTAAAATAGAATTTACAAGAAAACTAAACTAAACTATAGCAAGAGAGAGGGAGGGGTGAGTGGAGCAGTGTGTGTGTGTGTGTGTGTGTGTGTGTGTGTGTGTGGAGAGAGGGATAGAGAGGGAGAGAGAGAGAGAGAGAGAGAGAGAGAGAATATTATTGGCCAAATACTTGCAAAAATGTTTATTACAACTTATAAAACTTATTTTTTCCTATTGTATATAAAGAATATTACCATATTTGTGGGAATTGCATAAATCTTTCATAAAATGATTAATAGAACTTATTCCTCTAGCTCAAGAAATAGATTTAACTTTTTATTTTAAGGGGTAAATTCCCAGAGTTAAAATATTGACCGGTGATCAACTTGGTGAATAACTATCTCATTTAGTCCAGAAGTGAATCTTACCCCTGTCCTCTATTTGCTCCTTTCTAAGACTATGAAAGGATTCTTTTATAAATATCATAAAATATGAGAAGAAAATATTTCAGACAACAGCTCCTACCCCACATCATTTTATGCTACTTGGGTATAGTCATCCAGTCAGTATGGGCAGAACTTAGTACTGGAACCTGGTTAATCGAATTTCTAGTTTCAGTCTCTCCTCTAATACAACTTCAGCAAACCTCTATGAGCATCCACACAGTGTGAAATTCTTAGAGTACATATCAACATATTCTATTACTGACATGGATGTGTTTTTAAATGTATATCTTACCTATAATGCCCTTCCAGTGGGAGCTGTACTGTGCCCTCATCCTCCATAGCTAGCATACTTTGTTCCTCCTGGAAAGACAAATGTAAAGTATATAAAGTGAACCTGATGAATCTCCATTTTACATTAAAGAAGAAACACAGATTAATGTTTCATTATCTCATTAACCTCAAGACCTTCCACTTTGTTTGCATTTATTAATGCCAGCACAGGTCCTTTCAATAAAGCTTAGCTACCAAGAACATAAGTAATTAATGAGAATCTCATAACACAAAGTAATTTAAATGCTAACAACAATCTCCTTCATGTCACTCAATGTAAAACATGGTTAATTTCCAAACAGACTTTTTAAAAATTAATCTAAACCTTACAAGGACAAAAGTGTGGGTAATATAATCAGTTTTGTTGTTGTAAAGTTGAAATTACATCCCAGAATGCTTTATTAGGAGGAGATAAAGAATATATTCAGACCAGTAGTTCTCAAACTCTACAGTATAATTACCTGGCAAGGTTTTTAAAAATACAGATTGCTGGGTTCTGCCCTCATATGATTCTATAGGTCTGAAGTAGAGAGGGCAAAAAAATTTACATTTCTAATGGGTTTCCACTTAAATTTGACTATGCTAGTCTGGACACCACACTTTAGAACAAATGCTGCAGACTTGGAAGGATATAATAGAAGATATCTTCCTATAATATATGCATCAAAACATAGGTAAGCTTGGTGGCAAAACAAATTGAATAGTTAGACTCCAGTCAGATGCATCTTTAGCTTTTGTTTATGCTTCATATTTCTTCTTAAAACAATAACATTTCACCTTTCTCCAAAAGGTAGAAATGCTTTATTCACAAATGTATATCTTCATATATAATATTCTAAACTATATCTTTGAAATGAGGATAATCATATGGCTACCATACTAAAATGTTCTCATTAAATTTTCAAATAATGTTATCATTAAACTTTTTCTCTGTACCCAGTAAGAAAGTTGTCTATAGATTACAGCTCTTATTTAATGTTCTTAATTACAGCTCTTATTTATTTTCAAATGGGTCAACTGGCATTACTCCAGTTCAAAGAATTATTTAGAATATTTAAAAATATTAGGTTATTTTATTCTATCTTCAAAATGGATTTTAAGATGTACAGACATGAAGAAGTAGGTGATCCTCCCAAAGTGGGAATTGATGACAAAAAAAAAAAAAAAAATACAGATACAGATGGCTCTGAAGGCTCTTCTCCTTTCCCCTTTCAGTAACTTAGGAGAGCTAAACTTCCTTAACCCAGCTTAACCTATAATAGCTGCCAGAGAGATATAACCTTTAGCTGATGCCATTATTCCTGGAAGGCAAGGTGGTACCTGGGGTTCTTTTATTCAAATCTTGGCCCTTCACTTGCACAATCTGTAATCTGAATGTCATATTCCATCTTTCTTGTTATTTATATAGGCAAAGTGGTTTTTAGTGACTCTTCAGCTAACCTATGAATATGTCATGTGATGGGGATAGGCCTCATTCACTCTTGCGTCAGTCTCCCAACCTACTGGCCAAGGTAGGGCCCTCTCTGCAGGGGCCTTGGTTGTGGTGCATACAGAACCTCTATGCCCAGCCCAGGCTACGGAGCAATGGAGAGGCCAGGGTGCTGCATAAGCTCTGCCATGCCTCTGCTTATACATTCCCCCTCAGACACTTTATGTTATATTTTTACACGGTGGGGCTAATGGCATAACCCTGTGCATTCCAAGAACCAATTCTATTCTCTTTCTCTACTGTTTTTAAAGTATTTTTTTATTTTAAGGCCCTTGTATTTTATTACTTATGTTTTACACATATTCTCCTTGTCATTTGGCAGCACTATTAAAACTAATTCAAGATGAGTACAATCCTATTAGTTTAAAATAACCCATTTAAGCATAAGCAGAGCTAATCTGCAGCCTAGAATGAGATATGCCTTGCAAATGCAATAAAAAGATTATATGGAATACAATACATATATCATATTAATTTACAAGCACATCCTGGAACCCATGGGCAGAGCATATGTATCCTTTCAGGTAGAAAAGGTTACTTCCATGGGAGAGGTTACCTTAATGCACATGGAGGAGCCTAAAGAGAAGACATGCAATGATTCCATAGGCTATGTAAAGAAAACCAAGATATAAACAAAAGGTAAATCTGTCCTTAGTTGTCCAATAAGAGGTTAAGACTGTCACATAGTATCTTTTCTGGCCAATTCAGAAAAGAACGTCAAAAAGCTAAGGATGTTTAACAAAGAATAAAATGCAAATAAAGTTTAAGAGAAGAACAGGTTCATCACCGTGTAAGCTACCTGGCAGCAGAAAAATGAAGAATCACTATTCAATCCAACAGCAAAAAATTGGGCCAAAGCATTATGAACAATTTTGGTTTTTCTTCAGATGATTTTCCACTTTTCTCTCAAATTGCTTTCAATAATTATTTTGCACTCTGTGGCTTGTTAGCATGTGTGGGCTTTATACTAGTCATAATTCTATCCAAACAAAAACTCATCACCTCTAAAGATAGCATTTCCAAGCCATGCTTATCTGAAGAGAAGGGTGGCAGAGCAGCCGCTGCCTTCAGTGCCAGAAGGGAGCTGGGTGGGCCCTGGAGCAGGGATGGAGGGCCGGCTGCAACCCAGGCAGCACTCTGAGGGAGCCAAAAATTGAGCCTTTCTGGGGAGGAGCAGTCAAATCAGGCACCAGTCATCACGACAATCACAACTCAGGTTATGTCAACCATGCAAGCAGAGAGAGAATAGCATAAAGCTAACCAAGTATCCACCACAGACACACCTCAAAATGAGTTCTATTCAGCATTTCTTTTATACGGAATCCATCAAGAATATGCTGAGTTCTATGTCGTGATAGAACTCAGTTGTGAGATGTTAAAAGGATGAAGACAAAATTTACCCAAGAACATTTGAGGGGTTTCTTCAATTTGATTAAAGAAATATTTATAATGATTTAAATGTCATCTTTTGATTAAGATAATAAAAGAATTTTCAGACACAAAATAAGTGAACTGCAATTAATGCTATGTCCAGTAAAGGGAAGGAAAAGTTAGGCTTAGAAAAAAAATCTACTCACTAGCATCCCAACATTTACTGAGCATATACTATGCTCTAGTCACCCAGTGAACAAGAATCATCCAGAAACCATTAATAAATTCATTAAATGAATATGTGTTAAGCATTATCTACATGATGGGAAGTCCATTAGGCACTGGGTTACAACCATGAAAAGAAAGATATAGACCCTACCCTTAGAGGATATGAAGGCTCACCATGAGAAGTACAGGAGCAGAAGTTGTAGAATGGAAGAAATTGTAGGTAGGAAGAAATAATGTGAACCAAGCATAAAATGAAGGAATAAATAAAAAATGTTTTCATAGTAATGAGCAACTAGCCTGGTTAGAGCCAAAGGTCTGTGTTGAGTTCAAGGGGAAAATAAAACAGGAGTCAAATTGTGGTATATTTTGATTAATAGGAGGATATATATCAAGTTATATCATGAATCTGAATTGTATTTCATAAAAACATAAAAATTCTTATTCCCATATTGTGACACCTAACAAATTCTCTATCCTTTAATTATTTTTTACCTTTAATGAAGTAGTAACATCTCTTATTTTATCCATTTTTCAGCAAAGTCTGTATCTATGTAGGAGGCTTCAAATATTCCAAATTACAAACAACAAAGAACAAATAGCAACTCTAAGTATCTTTGTGAAGATGCTTACAGTACAGAAGATAGAAAATACTCAGCAATTTTGTAATCTATATATCTTAAGAAATGGAAGAGATTTCCAAATTCAAGTTCAGCTCCTTTATTTTATCCAAGAAGAAAACAAGGCCTACAGAATATAAGCAGCATCTAGACATTTCCTTTCCCAACTAACAGAATAGGTGCTACAAACGTGATAATAATGTCATATTTATAAGGATTTTTTATGATTTCCAAATGTAGAGACAAGCCAATACATAAAATACTAACAATGAAAGCTTAGAAGGAAAAATGGGAGGATTAATATAGAATTCATATCATATAGAGAGACAACATATATTTTTCATCAAAATATTCAATTCATTGTCTCTATATATGAATTATTATAAATACAAAAGTGAAAAATTCTGTAGAGTTACCTTGTACTTAGAATTTGAGTATATTCTGGAGATTCAGATTCTGTAGTTTAGGAAAGGGCTTATCTCAAACTTTATCATGAATCAGAATCCCCTAGAGGTCTTATTAATACAGAGCACTGGCCCCTCTACTCAGAGTTTTAACTCAGTAGGACTCGGGTAAGGCCCAAGAATTTTTATTCTAACAAACTGCCAGGTGTTGGCTGGTGTAGCAGAGGTTGTGGAATCACATTTTGAAAAACTACTGCTTGAAGGAGGAGAATAAGCTTGCCACATCTTAAGATTCAATTAGAAAAGATATTTGTATAATAATTAGTTATCCATGCTTTCTAAATCCACAACCCATCCTGACCCTTCTTAATAGTAAGACATTTTCTGTAATTTGCTTATTGCACTTGTTTTTTTTTTAATTTCTTGGAATTTTTCATGAACCCATTTGATACAAATCACAAAGCCCTACTTGTCTACTTTTTCTAACAGTGTATGTGTTAGAGTGAACCCTCAGTAAATCAAGAAGTCTCAATCTGATACCTTCTGCCAAATTGAATGTCCAGGGTTTAGCTAAGCTTAACCCCATCACCCTCTCTCCAAGAGTAAACATTCTGTGGAGTTTTCTGCTTTTAACAATAGTCCTTTTGTCAAATGTGTACAATGTCCTAGAGAATATTTAAGTAGGAAGAAAGGCATGTTGGTACTCTGAGCACATTTGGACATCCAGAATTTGATTCTGCAGTCTTCCCTTTACACAGAGCAATGTGCAAAATGTCAGGGTTCCAATATTCATTTCTACCCTGATTATAATCCTTTCTTTCTAAAAACTGAAGCATATGCATATGCATATGCATGAAGTACATGAAAATTTGGAACAGAAGCTCTGCGACCTTGGACTGGCCTGTGTAGCTATTTATTCTGCTTAACTCATTATTGAATTTTAAGGTCAAATGAATGCTTTTTCAGTGCCATAAGACCATAAATGGGCTACTGATAGGAAAACCCTAGAGGATAAAGGTACAAACTTGTAACTATCATCAAAAGGACAAGAGGTGAGCTCACTTTAAATTCAACTCTCAGGGAGCTGAGACATTTCTGCTATTTACTATCTTGCCAGATCATGATCAAAGTTACTCAATTAATTTGAGCAATTGCAGAAATGAAACATTTCTGGAGAACTTGTCCATTTGCCACCTTAATGCAAAATCTCCTGGAAGACTGGGCCTTGGTACAAGATGCCGTAGTTAAGAAGATCACATCCTCTAGTGGAGTCCTTAAGCTCAAGAAATAAAATATCAACATCTAGGCAACCAAGTAGAAAATCAACCAGAGATTTAACTTTTAGTGTCATCCTCCTTAAATCTTCCTACTCTCTTCTCTGATCCTACTTTTTAAATGCTAATCCCAGGTTAGAACATAAACATCTATAAACTTTCTTTTCTCTCCCCAGTTTGATGCAGAATTATTTGCCTTTGCAATAGTGAGAACTACATTTTAATGTTCAATTGTAGTTTATTTTTTGACTATTATTGATTTTCTTGTTTCTTTCCATGTAATGAGGATCACATGGAAGTCTCACTATATTTATCTATTTGAATTTTAAAGATCCATAAACTTGTCTGATGAACGTATTACAAGATTTTTTCCCCTCTCAAATTGGAGCTGAAGGATTTGGCCATAAAATTATCCCAATAAATCTTTAATCTATTTTTATATACTTGCAGAAAACATGAGTTCTAGGAAATTTAGGGACACTAGTTACTTCTAGAATTTTTCATAATCAGAAGAGAGTAAATACCCATTAGATTATAGCAGGATATAATGTAAAAAGGTTAGAAACTAATTATATAGAATTCCTACCTAATGGGATTAATAAATTGCAAAATGGATATAGGGCACATACATACAAATGCCAAATATTCACAGCTTTGAAAGTTGGGCCGTGGAAATAGCTAATTCTATGAAGTTTATTATTACCATCAGCTTTGTCTATTCTATTTCAGAGACAAATGGAGAATCTGAAACTTTCAGTCATAGTAGGGAAGAATATTAAAGATAACATAGGAAATTACACAGCATTTTTTCGTTTTGAAAGTTCTAAATTCTAAGACTGAAGTTCTAAGAGGAGCAAAAATGTCTCATGATGTGATGTGGCCTAAGATGAATGCTAGAATGCAGTGATTATACATAGCTGGGAATATTGCTATCTAGTTCCACCAGTAGCAGTAAAGACATGGCAGGTAAACAAAGTAAGAAAATACAGTCATAGTAACTTTTAAGTTATTGCCTGAATGTACTTAATAATAGTAAAATTATCAGAGAAACTATAGAGAAGCTTGTGGCCAATAAGCTTTTTAAAAAATTCAATTTATATATTTAAAAAATTTTAAACCAGTGTATTTTAATTGTACACTGTACTGGGATTCATTGTTAAATATTTGCACATGCACACCTTCTCTTCAAAATTACTTTCTTTGAAAATTTATAACTTCTTAGAAATTGTTTTCAATCTTAATAATTTTAATTACATCAACTATGAATAATTTAAGACATTAAAATTTCAATAGTCTGATGTCCATCTTATTTAAATTTAGCTTGTGCCAAATTCTGTCATATTTTTCTTGAATAATACCTGAGGGTAACACAGACATTTACTGACACTCTAAAAAGAAACAAGAGATCCAAAATATACTAGTTAAAACATTATTTTTTAAAAAATGTCTAATACTTAAATCAGAATACATTAAACTTAGAAAAATAGAGAACTAATGACAATTTTATAATATTTAATATTATATTAATATACTAGAAGTATGATTCTATATATGCCTTCTATACATTTTGAAAAATTGAAATATTTATACAGAAAAAATATATCATCGTGATCCATCTATGTGTGAAAATCTATTGACTGCAATGGAATACCATAAAAAAAGAAAGGAATTATTATTCACATTATGTAGCCATACTGGTAGAAAATTCTGAGCAGAAACTTCATTAGATTTTGTGGCTTAATCTGAGTTCACTAAATGACTAAGCAAAACTTAAAATTCTTGAAACATTTACAAATGAATTACCCAATGGAAAGAACATATCTAAGACTTTAAAAAATATTCTATAATTAAAAAACTGAATACATTTATTAACCACCTATAAGAAAATTGAAATAATAATGTTCAATTCTCACAAAATATTCTTTAAATCTTATTTATATTTACATAGAAATTTTGTTTTACTTTTACAATCTATGAGCTCAATCATTCTGCTAAATGTTGTATGAGTTCTCTCTCTCTCTCTCTCTCTCTCTCTCTTTCCATTTATACTTTGTAGTTTTTATATACTTTTAAAAATGTTATGATTAGTCTTCAAAATAGATCCAAGCTAACATATTAACTTTATAAGTGCCCTAAAACTTACAATAAATTGTTTTAACATATGAAATAGAATCAAATAAGTAGTTCATGAAAATAAATAGAACCCAAAATGTTTCTCAAACATTATTCAATCTTAAATCACTTTGAATGCAAATCATTTTTCCTTTTAAGCATTTCATCTATTTCAAACCTAACTGATTTTTCACTAGAATCTTCTGATTAAAATTTTGTTCCCTAGAAAATACCATCAGTAATAACACATCTCTGTTCTTCTCCCTCTCTCTCTCTCACTCACTCATTTCTGTCTGTCTTCACATTTTCAACGAAAACATAGTTATTGCATGACCATAACTTGTAAATGGTGAAGCATCAACAACTTTATGCCATCTATAAGTGAGAAATAATAATCCTTATTATTTGGAAGTTAATTAAGCACAAAGTATTTGTATATTTCATACAGATTGGTTTCCTAAGGTGAGATCTTGGTGCCCTCTGTCTCTGGTTAAATCTTCATGATTTTAAAAACTGAACTTCCGAATCTGTCCATCATGGTTGTTTGTAATAACTGTCTAATGATAACTATACTAATTTAGTTTTGCAAGGAGCAACTGATTTTCTTTTCTTTCTTTTATTTTTCTTCTTCTTCTTTATGAGACATTGCTTTTTCTCTGACTTACTTCTTTTTCAGCATCTTCTAGTTTCTTTTTCTTACTCTCAGGCATTAAATCATCCAACCAGCTGAGTTCTCGTTTGGTAAATAAGAAGTCCATCAACTTTCTTACAAATACCAGGGCTAACACCTGAAGAAAATAATAAAACAGCTTAAGATTTAAAGAATAAAAGTGGGAAATATAGATTCAATTGTTTTTGGTAGAAATGAGTCAGTTTGATTAGGGCTGACATTAACCTTGAGATGAATATGTATATTCATGTTGAGAATTTTAAAAATTACATCATTAAATTCACTATAGTTTTTGAAGTATTTGAAACTTCTTGGAAATATTTAATTAAATTTCACTTAAAAATGCCCCTGATGCTAAATTTTGAAAGTTTATATTTTTTCACCTAGGGTAAATTACCTCATATTATAACAAACATTCAGAATAATATAGACAAAACTAATATGAATCAAATTCATGATCATATTCAGTCCCTATCTTTGTCACTAATTTTAGTGCCAAAGTTTATAGTAGGGTTTCCAATGGTTGTTCAAACCCCATACTATGGTTTCTAATCAGACTCTTTTGTTCCAATTTTAGTTCATGTGTTTCCAAAGGGACCCCAAAATCAGAGGAAAAGAGTGGGTACAAGTTTCATACCATCATGGGAAAGACAATAGCAGCTCTTGAAACTTTTATTATCCACAGAAGGCCAAGGCAACTCATCTGAATAATTGTAAAGAGATGAACTTTTCGGAGTGGTACATGCCGTAGATATATAAAATCTGGTTGATGTTTTGCAGGCATCCAGAAGAGCTTTATCCTATCAAATAACTAAAAGATTAAGCAGATTAAATTACATTTAGTAATAAGACAACAAAAATAAGAAAGGCAGATATTTAATATAGTCCCCAAATTTTAGGTTGACATAATGTATCTGTGATAATTGGACATCAATGAGATTGATACACCACACTGAAATACTACAATTTTAGTTTACAACCGCACAGGTTGTAGAGTATAACAACAGTAATGCCAGTGCTAAATGCTAAATAGTAAAGCCAAAGTCAGTGCTACCTTGGAGAGTAGAGTCCTGAGGGCAAAAGGTCATCTTAATTCTTGTCACATCACAATCTCCTCCTTTTCCTCCACAAATACTGGGGATTCCTGTACTCCCAAGCTCAGTTCTCTTCTATCCTCAGTTCTCATCTTTCCACTTTAACATACTTCCTGATGACTCCCAAACTGGCTGTCTCCCTCAGTTACCTCTCTGAGTTCCAGACCCCACCCAGCTGCTGTGGAGGATGTTCTGAGTTCCTTATTTGAACTCTGCTCCTTTTGCCACTTAGATCCCCAACAAGGGTTTTGATGCTGTCTTTACAAACACAAACTTCTTAACCATAAATATTTAACCTATATAAGAGACAAAATGATTGGATTATGAGATCTGTGAGCCAATCAGTGGATTAATCCTCTGATATAGATTAATAGAAGTTAACTGTAGGTAAGTAGGATGTGACTGGAGGAGACAGGTCTTAGGGGTCCTGCATTTGGGGTGAGCTCTCTTTCTCTCTCTGCTTCCTGGTACCATGTCCTGAGCTGCTTTCCTCTGCCATGCCCTTCTGCTATGATGTTCTTCCTCACCTTAAGCCCAGAACAACGGAGTGAGACCTCCAAAACCATGAGTACTAAATAAACCTTTCTTCCTCTACAGTTGCTCTTGCCAAATCTTTTGATTTTAGCACACACACACAAAAAAAAACTGACTAAAAACCGAGGAGGAAAGATAGTAAAGGATTCAATAGGTTGTATCAAAACAGAAAAAGTACTAAGTGCTAGTGTTCTAAAACACAATGAGGTGACTATAGTTCAAAATGACCAACTATATATTTTTAAGAATGGCTAGAAAAGAAAAGTTCAAAGACTCAAAACACAAATGATAAGGGGATGAAAATGATAATCACCCTGATTTCATCAGTGTATATTGTATAATATAATCAACCTCATATAGATGTACAATTTTGTGTTATTAAAAATTTTTAAGGTTTGGCCATTCAAAATTCACAAAGTTCTTGGTGACAGAGATATCCAAAGAGATCATTAAGATCAGGTTTACTTATATTCATAGTTTAAATTGTTTTTTCCATATTGGGTATGCTTATCTTCCATTAGCATTCACCCCAAACCTCCAGTAAAATCTACATATACAAAAGAAAAAAAAGATTTAATCTATATAGATTTTTGTTAAAAAATTGTTTTCCAGAGAGAATTTTAACTTCTTGACTAATATACTATATTGCACTGTCAAACCATTTATGGTTTTTAATCATATTTTATTTGAATTATTTTACATAAATCAATGTTATTTTCTGTTTCAATTTTGCCATGTAGTAGCATTATTTTTGACTGCATTACTGTTGTGCTTTGACTTTGAGGCCATTTTTATCAAGCACCCAAGTTAATAAATTAAAATTTCACCAGAAGCTTAAATCTTCCTTACATTTTACTTAGTAACACTTTGTAGTGCATAGTAATTTTATTTTGTGGTGGTCATTTTAGTTTTTCTGAAATTTCTGCCATTTTCAGTTTCTGGCATGAGGTTATTATTTAGAAAATACTATGACTTTCAATCATAGTCACTGTTCTTCTTTGTGCCATTTCTACAATAATATATGTATTGTCAAAAGGGTAACATTAAAATTAGTAATATTCTTAGTTAACTTATAAGAAAGAACTAGCAGTTTTCATCATATATTTCAAAATTACTCAAATCTGCAGAGGAACAACTGACCATAGTCAAACTGTTAGGGTCCTATTTTACCAAACCCTATTTGTTCATATACTAGAAATTCCAGACTCAATATATACCTCTGTCCTTCTGTATTCTATCTTACAGAATGCAGGACCTTCCTCTGCCCATTTATCTAAACCAGAATCTTGTGCACATTAATTCATCCAGTGTCCATTCATTTACCTTCCAAAATACTTATGGAAACTTTCTATTAAGAGTACTAAGTGCTAAACTCATTCCTGGTTCATCTCTCTCCATACTGTCCATACACATACCATTAGGTCTCTTTATTTAATACTTCTCAAATACCTCTTAAAATTAGAAATCATTAAGCATACAAATAAAACTTTGGGCACAGTGAAGATAAGAATAGGGGAGAAATAAAATCCTTTGGCTTACAACTGAAAATTTCCATTTCTATACAACTAATTTTCCCTAACTACCATTTCTCCATTTATGAAGCTATGTTATTGCATAAGTGTACTTCAGTGTGTGGGTGCTTCAATTGTTATTGTTTAAGTGGCACATTTGCTTTACTTTGGATTCCCAAAGTGTTAGAATGAATATAGATGTGGTTATATATCTGAATACGGAAACAGCGTTCATGAGAACACTGTGATCTGTTTTTTCTGCCATGTTTCACATTGAGAAACCTACATAAAAGTTTTTTAATATTGCCCATAAGGTAATATATTTCTTCAATGTATAGGGTAACAAAGTAACATATTCCTTGAACCATAGCTATTTAACACATTTAATTATTATTACTCATGATAGATGTATTTTAAGTTTTGCATTTGGCTTTTATTATATCATAATGTCAATATTCCATTTCCCTGCCCAGTTAGCTACAATTCCCATTAGGAATTTCAACTGCTGAGTGTGGAGCTCACTTAAATTTTCACTAAGCTTGTTTCTCAGTGTGAGATGCTATTTGTCCATGTGTACCCTGTTTTGCTGTTCATTTGTGTATTTAAAACTCATTTTACTTAACTCATGGGGCTTTGTTAATATTTTCTTCAATTTTTATTTCAAAGAATCACTTCCCAAATAATTCCAAACTTGACATTCTTGTTTAATTCTAAACCACATGGGTATAAAATCATATGAGTTGAATTAGGGGGGGAAATCTGTTGAAACCTATCAAAATGATTTTAGTTTGTTTCTTAAACTTCTGCTGTTGTATTTATGTGAGCCTGGGGCCTAATAATAAATACTTTTCACTTACAGATGAAATTAGTAGTCATGGAACTTTTGCCAAAGGCAATTTAAAAAAAAATCAGAAAAACAAATAAATAAAACCTCTTCCATACTCTTCTTTATCTGCCTTACCAATTCAGTTCTACCAAAAGATACTTTAAAATGAACAAATGAAATTATATCCCAGGAAAATTTAAACACATAACACTTCTCAACCATCCCCCTCTCCCAAGTTAATTTTACCCAGAGTCAAGATGAACAAAGACATACAATCTTTGTGTGTTCAGTGATTTTATAATGACTTTGCATTGAAGTTACACCTCAATTCTGTTACCTAGCACTATCCAAAGGCTTACATGCTGCTATTCTCAAAGTCAGAAACTGGCCATTCACTCAGGAACAAAGACCCATGGTGCTGTTCCTCAGTCAAGTGACTGTTCTTCTGTATGTTCTGAACAGCAATGGGACCAGCTATGTCATAGAAAAAGCTGTAATTTATATTTTTCTCTTAGGTAACAAAAAACTAAACTACTCAGTGAATAAGGCTTGAATTTAATCTCTTTTTCAGGAATATTGAAGTGGTTTGGCTAAATAATATTAAGTTATAAAATAAGATTATTCAAAGGCAAAATTAAGTAGAAATCTGTATTCGTTTTTTGGAGCTGCCATAACAAATTATCACAACTTTCTGGTTTAATACAATAGAAATTTATTCTCTCAGAGTTGCAGAGGCCAGAAATCTGAACCAGAATGTTGGCAGTGCCATAATCCTTTTGAAGGCCCTAGGGAAGAAAATTTCCTTTGCCATTTCCAGCTCCTGGGGCTCCTGGCATTGTTGCCTTATGGCAGCAAACTTCCAATCGTTTCTTCCACCTTCATGTAGCCTCTCTTTCCTGTGTTTCTGTGTGTCCTCTTCTCGGCTTATAAGGACCCCAGTTATTAGATTGGGAGTGTACCAAGTATATGATTACATCAGCAAAGACCCTATTTACAAATAGGATAATATTCTGAGATTCCAGATGGATGTGAATTTTGAGGGAACATTCACTATCCAACCCATAAAACATCATAAAAGAAATAAGCAGGAAGAATTTGCCAATAGCATCCACAATTATTTAGAATACACTTATAGAGGGTTTTAAATGTGTCCACAAATTCTTTGATACTCTTATCTTTGAAAGATGACATCTTAATTAATTTCTCTTGTGCTCAAAGCTAGACTTAGAGTGTACTTACCTTTAACAAATAGAAAATGTGAAGCATGACTACATGCAATTCTGGAGGGTAAGTCAAATGTCATTAGAACTTCCTCTCTCTGGGAGTTAGCTTCCCTGTTGTGAGCACACTTAAGTATCCTATGGAGAGGCCCTTGTGGCAAGAAAACCGAAATCTCCAACCAAAATCCACAAAGGAATGATGCTTCTTGCCCATGCCCACGTGATATGTCATCCTGAAGTAAATCTTGAAACACTGTGGAGGCTCCAGATGTCTGCAGCCCTTGACAACATCCTGACAGGCCCACATGAGTCATCTTGAACCAGAACCACCCAACTAATCTGTTCCTGAATTCAAGACCCCCAGAAACTGTGAGCTTATAAAGATTTGTTGTTTTGAGCTATGGGATTGTAAAGTAAATTTTTGCCAACCACAGAAAACTAATACAGTGCCTAACACGATAATTTAACCAATATTTTAACAATGTATAAAATTTCTTTTATATTTGAAACTGCCTTACCCTATATCTTAAAAAATAATTCTATAGATACAGTTGTAATAACAGAAAAAAATATAAAAGGAAAAAAAATCATCCAGGATCTCACTATCTTAACACATTTTTTCCTCCACCTTTCATTTTAATCCAACTCAATCTATTAGCTTTATAAACATATGGTAGGTACATTTTCACTTTGTATTACATCATAAGTATCTTTATCATATTACCTTGGTAGGCATCATAATTATCAATGTTCAGTGACTGTCTAATTGCTTACTCATTTTACTGCTATTGGATAATAATAACATGTATTAGAATGAGCATTTTTGTGCATATTTTTCTATTGTCATGGATAGATGTCCATAAATATGATTAAAGTGTCAAAGACTATAAGTATTTGGATGTATCTTGAAAGGTACTGCTGTTAATATCAATAAAAGGTATAAATGCTAAACTTCTTAAAATATTAATATATTTATGGTAAATAAAAGTACCCTAAGATTAAGAACATTGGATGCTGGAGAGGGTCTTTTTTAACTTTTGCAACTCTGAAAAGTTTGAACAATTTAATTGTGGTCTGAAAACCACTCTTCAGATGATGTTGTTTTCTCAGCTGTCATATGACACAACATCAACAAACCCTAAGATAAGTCATGACAGATGTACCTGTAGTACTGTAAGTAGCTTACCTGAATTCCCTTTAGAGATGAAGCACCCATATAAAGAAATACTCCATATAGCACTGGCATGGGAATAAACTGTAAAAGAGCAATTAGAGAAAAGGCACAAATTATTTTCCAATACATTGGCATGCTGTTTTTCATTTAGCCAAAAGTGGGGGTGGAAACAGATACAAAATGTATTTTTGAAGCAATATAATACAGAACCAGAAGACATGGATTCAAATCAGACCTTTAGCACTTTGGAAGCTTATGTAAATTATTTAAGCTCTGTGCATTAGTTGTTCACTATCTAAAAAGCGATGATAACAATAGGGTTCTTATCAATATGTAATAGGTGAAAAACTATTTCAGAAACCACATCATGCACAATAAATAAGAGTTTTAACAATTATTAATATTTTTATTTAACAATAAAAAATAACTGTTATGCAACTTGAAAGACAATTTAAATTTTATTTCACAATGGCAAGATAATTGGATTAAAAGAGGAAGAATGGATCTTACACTGAAAAGTTGTTCCTAGATTATAGTAGATATTTGTAATCATGTGTTGTTCATACTATCTCTTTTTATTGAAATAGCTCATCATCATCCACCTTTATAATTACTTACACAACATGAATTAATTCTTGCAAAAATTTCAGTGATTAAATACAAGTAAACTTGTGAAAATTATTAAATAATTCAATTAAAATTTTCAAATTACAGGCAACTAAAATGAGTTATAATTTATAGTGAAATTAACATAATTCAGAAATATCTGCCAAATTACATGACAAAATAAGTACTATGTAGTGCTCTTCAAAATGAATTAAAATATTTTAAATGTAAAAAAGTAAGTATATGTAATGATGATGTCCATGCAATAGTTTTATGGAGCACTTAAAGTATAAAACTGGATATTTGACCACAAGCATGGCTATGCTCATTTCTACACAGCTAACTTATAGCAGGTAATATTAGTTGCTAATATATCTTTCCATTGATAAAAAATCAGAAACTTCAGTTTGTGAAGTACCCTAAAAGTGAATTCAGGTCACAGTCAATCAGAAATGAGTGATGTTTTTCCAAAGCTTGATCATCATTTCAAAGTTATTGTAATAGTTTACACAATGATTTTTATTTTGCCATTGAAAACCTTTATATATCTAAGGATTCTAAACTATAGGACATAATTTCTTCCCTTCAGTTTAAGAAGAATTGAATAAATATGATAAAAAAATTCATCATTTTCATCACATGCCATACAATATTTGTAATATGTTCCTTAGATTCAAGTGAAATCTTTAAATATGTATTTTCTGCTTTCTCTCAAACTCATAAAAACATTCCATTACCTTCAGAATGCTGGTCATAAAGACGGATGATCCCATGAGAATAAAAATCATAAGCCCAGTAACCCTTTGTTCCCGAATGCCAAGAAATTTGGGTTGTTCTCCTGGAGCTGAACATTCTGATTCCAATTTCAGGCTGTTGACATGAGTGATGGAAAGGACTGTGGCAGCCACAAACCATGGCAAGCCCATGATGGAGCATACTCCAAGCATGACGGCCACCATTAATAGATCCAGATGGTACCCACAACCTTTCTGTTAAAAAGCAGAAAGAAAAGAAACCATCAATAAAACAGCTAAAGGATGGCCTGATTGTGAATAGAATCCTCATCCTGATAATATCCCAAAGGCCCTCCACAGTGGATCTTCTCCAGGTAAACTCTTAAACATTTTTCCAGTTGCTCTCTGATATCTCAGTGGGTGGCTTTCCATTGGGAAGAGTAATATCATAGAACCAAGGCTCCCTTTTTATGCTCAATTTATCTCAATATAGTGTGATCTAGTTCAAAAAGTTTTTCTTTCAGCACTAGAAAAATATCAGTCTTTCTTAAAATGCTAGTTTTTATGTTTTCTATCTCCTCTGTATTTCCATTCTGATGTTACTGATCTCCTCTGTATTTCTACTCCACTATCATTAACCTCCAGGTGTTGCAAATTTAAGTGCTTCACAGAAAGTTTAAGAAAGGAAAATAAGTGGGATAGATATGAGGAGGCTGATATCAATAGGTGATTAGGTCCATTCGAGGGAGAACTCGAGGATGGGCAAGAGCACTGCTCCCCTCTCTCACTGGGTCCTGCAGGAACTTAAAGGGTAAAACCTCTGAGGTAGCAAAGAGTTGGCCTATTTTATGTTCCAATTCTTATTTTTAATTTTGCAAAGATACCACTGTATCAGAGGCAGTATAATAAAGTGGTTAAAAGAATAGGTTCTGGAGACCAATGGCCTGGGGTCAAATGCCAGCTCAACCAATGACCTTAGGTATATCTCTTTGTCTATTGTGTCACCTATCTGAAAACTGGTGATGATAACAGAAAGCACATCACTGGGTTGTCATGGGGATTGAATTATTTAGTTTTGAAAATCATTTAGTATTATGTATGGTCTATGGAGAGCACTCAATGAACATTAAGTACTATTACATTCTAGCAGTTGGACAACACATTTTTCTTTTGTACGCATTTTGTTTCAATGCTCCTCAATAAAACTATGTTTCTTAAGAACAGATAATCTATCATATAATTTCTCAATATTTCACAGTTTCTAGCACAATAATTAACACACATGAAGTAACCAATAAAAGTTACAGATTGACTTGTTTTAAAAGGAAATATATATCATTGAAACTTCTCTTAGAATTAAACTTAATTATTTTAATTATAAAATAAGATATAACAGTTAAATTTGGTCTGACAATGAGCAGCAGTGACCAATTCTTCAATAAAACAACTTTGGCATTTTTGGAGGCAGTTTTGTCAAACTACAAGCAGTTTATAGTTAATACAAAAGCTCACAGAGTCTAAAGTATGAATCTTATTTGTTGCATATCTGTCATAGTAGCATTTTCTGTTATTTTGTTTTGTTAATTATTTTCTTTAAAAAAAAGATTCTCAAAGTTACTGGTACTTCCTTTCTTTTTTGTTTATCCCTGCTAAATCATTAAAAATGACAAAAGGGGGGGGGGGGGGATCCCCCCTAACCCCCCCCCCCCCCCACGTCCCCATGTTGTCACCAGCTCAGTGAAGCACTTCCTTGAGTCAACTGATATCTGGGGCAATGCTACAGTTCACTAAAATGTTCACTAGAACTATTCCCCTGATGTATATGATTCTGGAAACTGTCTTTTGTAAGCAATGCAGGGAAGATTTTCATTAAAAGATTTGGAAAATGGGAAGAGAATCCTGGTGTCAGCATAACCTAAAAGGCAGTAGGAAGGTGTTTTACTAGGGCTATAATGTGGTCCCTTGACCCTTCTGCAAACATTTTGGAAGATGTGCTTCTGTCATATAGAACTCAAATTTTGATTCCTTTAGAGTTTGCCCTAAGCAGTTCCAGAAATGTTTTGTCTTTGGGACTGAGAGACAATGATAAAGGTGAGTGAAGGATCTACCTCCTTAAGGCCCTAAATCTGAAGGAATGGTTGTGAATGTGCCCCTAAAGCTTGTAGCAAAGCTGTGGTGCTGCTAGGAGAGGATGGAGGATGTAAGAAGTTCTGGAGGCCACAAGATGAATATCAGAGTCTAGTTTGTGCTTTTAGCACATCCTGGACTTGCTCAGGAACCATGTTCACTACAATTTAATAATGGGAGGAAGATCTTCCTTATGATGGAGATTTTCTATAACTCCTATTGAGTGATTTTATAATGTGATACAATATGAACAGTGTAATTCTGGAATGATGAAAATGGACAAAACAATTTTTTCAGAGGGAATAATTTCCTTTTAAAATTTAGAAAGCTAGCTTTGTTATATACAAATATATCATTAAAAAAAAAACAAGACAACTTCCCCCTCATTATGCCATACAACAATGGGGCATCTTGATTTTATGCAAACCAAAGGAAATAAAGTCGTTCTGGCACTTCCACTAATTAATCAGCAACTTTATTCTTGCCTTTCATTAGAAGTGCCTTTAAAAACTTGGTCTTTGTAACCAAATTATTAGCTGATAGGCATGCCAACCAAAGGGAACTATCCCTTTGTCAGAGAGAGAACTCTGCACCTTCTAACATATTTCTGTAGACTTTTTTTTCTCAAATAAAGACAGAACTGGAGTTTTTATTCTCACATTCATCCATGAATCACGGAAAATGGACATATGGGAGGAAAAGGGAGCATAGCAACAGGTGATGCTACACCAGACCCCACTAAAACCAACATGCAGCAAGACAAGAGGCCAGCCAAAAGGACCATCTGATACCCAGATGCCACTGCTGAAAAAATTCATTTCAAAGCTTGGCAGCAATTTCCTGCATCTGTCAAGTTAACCACATAAAAGACTATAGATTGACATGAAGAACCAGGCTGACAAAGAGGGCAAAAAAGAACATATCAAATGCCATAATCATCAAGAGAATGTGGTGCCAAATGAATGTTGCAAACGCATTCATTTACTCAAGTGATCTGGGATTGTATTGCTGTTTATTAAAAATGATGTCAAGAGAAGCCTGAACTGTCTACAGAAACATGTAGAAAAGCCCATAGTTGTATCTTAACAGAAACTTTCTTTTCTGCAAGATAATGTCTTTCTCTTTACACTTTCTGAGAGTAAGCTTAAAAAAAAAAAACAAGCTGTTACTTTCAATGCTTTTTAAAGAGATTCCATTAACCTATGCCTATCCCACTTCTCTGAGGAAGAAACAAACAAACAAATATACAAATGCTGGAGATGATATGGATTTATATGTATAACTGTAAGTAATATATGATACTTTTCATTTCAGATTTTCACACTTGCAGCTTCTTTCACTCTTCATATGACCCAAAGGATCATAAGATGCAATGAGTTAGAGTTTTGCTTATTTTGTTCTCCCTCATTCTTATTGCAATGAGTCACTTAGCCAGTGAGTTAGGCTTAGCCTATGTAGATCAGCAAGGTTTTATATGTAGTAACACTCATGAAATGATTTTTTTTTTTTTTACTGGCATGAGAAACATTGTCTAAAAGAAAACTAACTACTAGTTCTGATGATGAAATTGAAAAGATCTAAAATATGTTTGGAAGAGATAAAAACAAATTAATTCTGGAGTGACTTAGAGTTATGATATAGACTTAGATAATAGGATGTAGAGTCTACAAGGTGCTTGGTATATTAACTAGAAAGGTACAGTAACTAGAAAACAAAACTCATTAAAAATTTTCAGGGAATGTTCCAACCAGAGCAAAAATGGGTTTTCAGGTAAAAAAGAAAAAAAGAAAAAGAAAACTTACGAAAGCTGAGATGTGGTGAACTTGTGGTCTGGAAGTATATTCAAGAAACATTTTTTTGTGTGTGTGTGAAAATGTGGTTCAAGCCAAAGTCAGGAGTTTTTGCAAATGTTTCAGTGAAGCAGCAGGAAGGGAGAGCGGCCATGAAACCAACTGTTTTTCTAAGTAAACAGTGTTCTAAGAGGTGATATTTTTGTTGTTGTTAACAAGAAATCAGCAGCAAAGCAAAGTTAAAGAAGACAAGGGTTATAGAACAAAATTAAATGTTCATTGTGGATAAATCATGTATCCAATGGAAGAAACTTGTTTTGAAATTATCTACATCCAAGAAGGACAGGGTGCTCAGGCTCAGAGTAACCAAGACCCCACTGACTCCTCTACTGATAGCAATACCACAGAGCTCAGAGTCAAGCCAGACTTGCTCTGATACTAAGTCCAAGTTTCTGATACTAAGTTTCTGATACTAAGGGGTAAAAATATGAACCTTCTGAATACAAAGTTACTTATTTACATAATACAAAAAGTTTAATTATGTAGCTTCAGGTTAATTTCAGTGACAAAAAATATAAATGTTTTAGTTCTGCATTTCCATCCTGTCAATGAAAGTATATGAAAGGACCACTTGAAGAATGTATTACTATATTCTGGTTATTCTACGCTGTGTGTACAAGGGGGAGAACAGTATGTAGATTTTGGAGCTGTGATATTAAGGGCCTACAATAGGCTGATGAAGAATTAGGAGCAAGAACAAAGGCTAGGCAATTCATGAGGTTGAGAAACCTCAAAAGGGCCAGGATACAGAATGGCTCAGAAGGTAATAACACAGAAAGCAAATCCTCATTTACTTCCAGTTTGTTTTAATATGACTCCATTAGTACTTGGAGAAAATACTGTCTGAATCAGTTTAACTGATAACCTACACACAGGGTAATATTTCAGCAAAATCAATGGAATTCTACCCTATTATAAGGGCTAAAGCAAACTTCTTTTGAAAGGTAATCAATGACTGAATGGCTTACTTTCTGCTTACAATATCAGTCTTTTAGTTTATTTTTTTAAAAATGTCATGTAATTATATGCCGTCACTAAAAATGAAAAAAAAAATTACATTGCTGAAATGGGATGATCTCCACAATAATATTCTTCCTTGAAAAAAAATGAATATATATGGTATGAAAATACATACTTAAAGCTGGGGCTGCAGGGTTTGGGCTCAGTAGCAGAACACATACTTATCCTGTGTTTGATCCCCAGAAAAGAAAGAATGAGAAAGAAAAACAGAAAGGCGGACAGATGGAAGGAAGAAAAAGATAATATCTACTTAACTATATATTAAAATGTAAACAATATTATCTCTAGGCCATAAAATTATAGTGTTTTTCAACTTTGTCCTTTAATTTTTCATATTATCTGATTTTAAATCAAAATCATGTTTTACTTTAAAATCAGAAAACAGAGATGCTTTTAGTTTTTAAAAAAATAAACAGGTGTTTAGTATAAAATGTTTTCCTACATTTTAGAGAATTGCAGGATATTTAGAGAATGTTTAACATAATGTTCTAAAACTTGTTTATAGGTCTACTCAAGTAACTATGTAACATTATAATAAAAAGTCCTGGTGATGCTTGATTTTGTATAATGCTGGTATTTTTAAGGAAATGTTTTAAAATTATTGATATTAAAAAAAAATGACACTATTAAAGGCTACTCAGGAGGCTGAGGCAGGAGGATCCAGAGTTCAAAGCCAGCCTCAGCAACAGTGACGTTATTATCCAAAGTACAGGTATGAAGACATGAATTGATGTGAATATACTGTATATACAACCAGAGATATGAAAAATTTTGCTCTATATGTGTAATAAGAATTAGAATAAATTCTGCTGTCATATATAAATAAAAAAAAATCTAAAAAAAAAAGTGAGATGATGAGTAACTCAGTGATATCTTATCTCTAAATAAAATGCAAAATATGGCCGGGAATGTGGCTAAGTGGTCAAGTGCCCCTGAGTTCATTTCCTGGTAACAAATAAATAGATAAATAAATAAGGAGACTATTAAACCAATCCATCTAAACTTATGAGAGCAAATTATTTAATTTTAAAAAATTTTCCTGTAAATGCGATAATTTGACTTCCTTCTTTCCTATTTATATTCCTTTTATTTCATTCTCTTGCCTGATTGCTCTGGCTAAAATTTCTAGTACTGCATTGAATAGGAGTGGCAAGAGAAGACACCCTTGTCTGGTTTCTTAGAGAAAATGCTTTCAGATTTTTCACAATTCATAAGATTTCAGTTGTGGGTTTATCATATATGATTTTTTTTTAATTGATGAAGTATGATCCTTCTAAATTCTTCAAAGCTTTTATCATGAATTTTATCAAATGCTTCTTTTGCATCTCTTGAGGTTAATTGATGTGTTAATGAAAACAAATAAAAATTTAAAAAGTAGAATTTTCCTGCCAGTTTATGTCCCACTGATAGTTCAAAATGGCCATGTTGGGAATAGTCACACTATGGAAATCAGCACATATGGTAAATCTGGGTCTCCTTTTTTTACATAAGAGAGCTGGTTGTTCACCTGGTATTAAACTAGACCAACACTCCACTGGTCTAGTTCGTAAGATTTTATGAGATGTTTTAAAATATATTTCGTTAATAATTGAACATTTTATTTAATAAAAACCCTAAGTAAATTGAATTAATACCTTTTAAACATTCAGCATCTTAAGTTATTTTCTACAAAGAGAATGAAGAAAGCTCTTTAAGATAGATACACTTCCTTAGTAAGATTTATTACAAATAATTATGCTTTCTTATCTCATTACTATATTCACCAAAAGTCTAATTTTTTAATCATTCTAATATATTTACAAAATCCATGATTTCTGTTACTCTGAAAATGATTTTCCCCCCATAGAGTAAGTGTATGTGAGCTGGCAATCTCCAAACCCCAATGATACTAAAACAAAACAAGACTGAACATGTTCTCTTTTTACAAGGACTTATTTTGATTATTTTTAATCATTCAATGACTTAATTGATTTTATTTAACTCATTCCTTTAAATGATAGTACTCATATCACATATCTAAGAAAAATTGAATACCAGTGAAAAATGGTTGTTCAAAGTAGCAAAATGGTAGGGTCAGAATATTGTATATAAGATATATCCAAAATTAATTATTCTCCTTGTAAAAAAAAGCTATCAAAATTTTCCATAGAATTAAAACAATATCACTTAAAAACTATAATATTTGTGACTGAGTTTTGTTGTTATAGGCATTACAAACAGAATAATGATTAAAACGAGAAATATCTGGACATGTAATTTGTTCTACTAATTAATGCAACGCAATTGCATGTAATAGGCATAGTTAGGATCAAATAAAGGAACAGAGAATCCCAGATGTAAGATAAGTTGTTAAAGCTGTACTTAACCGAAATTACTTCATTAAAATATGTTAAACATGCTAAAATTAGAAAATTGACAATGTTTTTTTTTTTTCCTCAGTCCTGAAGGTAAGATTCTAAGACTAATGCTTACCCAAGTGCTACTAACAAATTTTTCATTGTATTTTAAGATAAAGTGTCTTGCAAAACAATAAAAATTATGAACCCCAATGGTCACAGTGGCACTAATCCAGCTGCTCAGGAAGCTGAGGCAGGAAGATCAAAAGTTCAAAGCCAGCCTCAGCAAAAGCAAGGCGATAAGCAACTCAGTGAAATCCTGTCTCTGAATAAAATACAAAATAGGGCTGAGATGTGGTTCATTGGTCAAGTGCCCTGAGTTCAATCCCTGGTATTCCCCCCAAAGTTATGAACCCCAAAATATGATTTTAGTATTTCAATGTGCAAATGAATACAGAATACAGGCAAAGTTGATTACTATCAGTTAAATCAGAATTACTTATTTTGAAATTGATGTTAAAATATACCTTTAGCTTATGCTCTTTTCTGTTGATGATGACAGCTGTAATCTGTTGGTCCATAAAAATTAGAATAGTACAAAGCAAAGCTGGAATTATAGCAGCTATTACTGTCCACCATGGATTTGGACCTAAAGGTGTAACAAACCAGCCACGATCATCTCTGGTAGGCTGAGGAAAATAAATGAGTGTATATATTAGCAGCTGGATTAATAGATACTGAATCAAATTAAGTCTTAGAAATACTACCAGGAAATCCCTAATTATAAACTGGCAAACTGAGTGGCCCATAATTAATATTCATGGTATTCATGAAGCATTTATAAGATAACAGTCATCACTCTAAGTGCTTTAACTATTTTAACTCATTTTTTTTCTTCACAACATTCTAAAGATGATTAAAAAAAAAATGAGGCATACAGATCTAGTAAATTGCTCAAGGTCCCAAAGTAAGTAATAATAAGTAATAGAGATGGAATTTAAACTCTGACAAATTAGCTCAAAAATCTATATTCTCAATCAATACCTACAGTAAAAAAATCAATATTTACCCTTTACAATTGGAAATTTTATTTATTTTAACAAATAATACATTGACTACTCTTCTAAAACTGATATACAAAGATAAATAAGTCAGAACCTTCTTTCAGTTTAGAATCACCGAAAGACATATAAACAAAATATTTCAATAGAATGTAGTCATTTATTTTAGATGTAGGCATAGGCTATTGTGTGAAGATGGAGTAATAATTTTGTCACATCAGAGGCTCGGGATAGGGTTCTAAACATGAATGATGCTGAAGATGAGTCTCAAAGAAATTCATTCTGGCAACAATACTATGAGGAATTTCCCACCCCTGTTCTACAAATGAGAAAACTGAGGTTCAGAGAGGGTTAGTAACTGGCTCAAGGCCAGAATTCTGTTCTAGGCCTATCTTAATCTATTTTTCAAGCCCTACTCACTGTCTCAAGATAATGCATTTCCCTTAGCTTCAAAATCCTTCCTGATCTTTTAGAGTGTTGATTTTATGGAAGTTGACAGGAATTTTTTTCAAGCAATCCTTGGGTTTTTATTTCTATGATTACTATTTATTTTTAATACTAAACCAAAGTTTTAGACATACTACACGTAGCTAATTTACTGCTCTACTGATGTATATTATATATTTTCATGAAAATAAGAAGTGCTAAGGTTACAGACTTCATCTTGATGAAGATTGAACTTAGAGAAAGGGAGAGATAGATGATAGATATTAAGTGCTATGATAAATTCACCTTGAAAACACTTGGTACTTGCAGTTTTGGAGATGGGATCCCAATGGCATAGTCTATTAAAACCATACACAAAATTGTAAGAAAGACAGCAAAGTCACTCACTATGGATCGAACCTAAAAATAATAAGAACACTTGTCACTTGAAGGAGCTATAAATACCAATAAGTACTCAGAACACAATCTAGAGTCACACTTTATAAACACTTTATGACATAATATCATAATATATTTCATGTATACTATAATATTACCATTAGGTCTGTCAGAACCTGAATATATATTTATGTATCTCTGTCATTTTGGAGAGTACACACTTAACATTTCCAGAATAAAGAATTATGGAATAGATATAATGGTGGTTGTGTTGTTAAAATACCTACTTAAAATCTAACTTTATTATGAACCTGGGTGTGTAAAAATTCAGAACACAGAATAAGGGTGCATGGACAAAATTTGACAAAATTTTAGGACTCCTTTTCAAGTCCACAGGAAACATTTTAATATGATTAGTCAAAGGCATTGTAAAATAAAAGTATCTGTTTTTATTGAAGAAGCTCAATGTTTTAGTTTATCTGTGATACAAGTATGGCACTTAGTTTATCTATGATACAAGTATGGCACTTGGTAATATAAACAACAGAGGAGGCAAATTTAAAATTTATTCAATTTTAAATGTATTCTGCATAAGCCAGTTTTTCAAGTTATTTCTCTTTTAAAAATCCATTTTTGAGCAAATATCCTTACACAATTATTAATAAGATCTGTTTTTTTCTTAGGATCTTTATATACACAAATAATTTTTTAAACGCTTAAGATTACTGTTTAAACTTACAAAAGATAATTTTGTATTAATCAGATTAAGCTTAGTGGGAAGAAATTAATCTTCCACCTTAGGGAAGAAAGAGACTAAAACAGAAGCCCTTTCTGAAGGGAACAGTTCTTGAAACATTTTCTCAGAAGAATTTTTATCAAAATCTATAGCTCAACCATAAAAAGCTTGTTTCCTTGTTTCTTTTACTTTTTTTTTTTTTGGCGAAATCAGACATTATAGGTGTTACTTTGCAGTGTTAAATATTGAACTAAGCTGTTTCTCTGTTTACTTTCCTTTCCAAATATGCAGATGCAAACATGGAGGGTTAGGGGGAGGGACTGACGCTTTAAAAGCCGAAAAAGAGAATAGTGTTCCAATAAGTCTTGCAGGGGCTTCCCCAATTAGAGAATGTAAGAGTGGTTCCTCTGAGGTATCTGTCAGGTTGGAATAGTTCCCACTGTTCACTGGGCAAGAAAGTGACAATCAGTAATGCAGTGTGTGCTTTGAATTTCCAAAAACCTAAGTGGGAAAGTGGGCGTTGATCCTTGAGGCTGGCAGGAGAAAAGCCTGCAGGGCTGGTGCCCTCCTTGGCACCTGAATCACAAAATGCTTCCTTATCACCCCCTCACCCCACCCCGCCTCTAACCTGGCATGCCATACAAAAGTCCTTTTATGACCCCTTTCCTTCCATCACTTGCTCTTTCCTTTGTCCTAAAACATGTAGGACTCCATAACATGCTGTATATTGGCTTACATTTGGATTAGGAAAATTACAGTCAAAGTACCTTAGTTGGAAAATATCGGCTAGTCTTGAACTGCTTCAGAGTGGCTGACATTGTAACTGTGGAAAAGAACAGTATCACTGACCAGAACAGAACATCTGGCACATAGGGGTGATCATGGCCACAGGCTCGTCCAGCATACTCTCCATGCAGTGATTTGCACTCCTGCCACAGGAAATAAGGCAAATGGGATGTTAAGAAAGAGCTGGGCATTTTTTCTTTCAGAAAACAACATCTCCCAATCAGCAGCAGCTTAAAACAACTGAAGCTTTTCGCCTGTGATTCTCACAAGGATTAAGCAGATATTACAGATTCTTTCTGATTTCCGTTTGGATAGATAAAGAGCAATATCAAAGACATAGTATGTAAAATTTGAAAACAAACTCCTTTTAAAATGTTTATTCTTACAAATTCAAATTTAAATCTGCAAGACTACTGATTTATCAAATTTCTTAAACCTAATATCTACTAAGTTCCTGACACCATATTTATTAAGAATATGATATATTTGATAGTGAATAGTTACCAACATCAGACCCAGGGCCAAAGCATTTGAGTGCCTCAATTTAATTAATTGCACACCTGCCCTATAGTATATGTAGATGTGATTATTTGTACTTCATTATCTGAGGAAACTGAGGTATAGAGATATTAAGTAATTTGTTGTGGCCTCACTGCTACTGGGTGTCAGAAAAGCTGAGATTCAAATGAGATTCTTGTAATGGAAATGATCACATATTAAAGAACAATTATTCTGAAAAATTACCTACTCTACAACCACCTGGAAAGACAAGCAACAACAACAACAAACTACAATACATAATTATTAAAATGAAATTGTGAGTCAGAGATAGGATTCAATTTAGATTAAAGAACAAGTGAGCAAAAAGTTACTTGAGCAAGATAAACTTCATTTTTACTATGACTTCCCCACAATCTTTATTTCTGCTACTGTATTTCCATAAACCCCTGAAAAACCATTTCTAATTTCGGCCTTAGCCATGAGGTGGCAGCAAAGTCAAAAAATTTTTCCTCAAGAAAAACAGCATTTTAAACATCAAATATTTTGAAAGGAAAAAACTGACTTTAAAGAAATTTGGGTTTTTCCTATTTTAATTTGATAATAATCTTACTAAATTATATTTTATTTTAAGAATAAAGATAAATAAAGAGAAAAAAAAGTTAAATGCTCCAGTGACCTTATTGGTTCTTGAGGTATTCTGGTCCCTGAACAGAAATTAAATTGTGCAATAGTACAAAGAGATCTTAGAGAAAAATATGGACTGATGGATGGATCAGCAACAGAGTCTTCACAGTGAAACAAACCTCAAATACTGGAATCCTTGCATAGCAGAACAAAAATACCTTTAAAAGATTCTAGAATACATCACAAGTAGCTACAGTGTCATCTGAAAACAAGCAAACAACAGCAAAATCTACTGGAGGGTAGACACCTGATCCTAACAATCCTGAGAAATATGATTGAGACACTTTAAACTGTCTAAAAGAGTCTGTCCCCTATTCTAAACTAATTGTGGATACCTTTCTTGCAAGCTGAATTCCAATTATCATGTTAAGCTAGTACAGAACACAATAACTTGGCTAATTGAAAAAACCACAGAAAAATCCCCCAGGCCTTAATTATAGCTTCAATTTCCTTTCTCTCAAAACTCTATAAAAATAGATAAAGTAGCAAAAATGAATCCTTGTGTTTTTTTTCAGTCTACGCTTCTGCTCCTGTCCAGAAATGCTGGAGAGCAATTACTAAGCAACATCATGGGTAAGCAGAATGGCTAAGCACAAAGAAAAGCTAAAAGTTCCATTATAAGCACATTATCTATTGATTTGTGAGCATTTGTGGGCTTTTTGCAAGTATAAAAGTCTTCAAAATATTCCTTGGATTTGGCCGGGTCTTATCCTCAATTCTTAAAACAGATTCCATTTAAAGGATCATTTTTCTCTCTTATAATCCATAATAAATTGCAAAGACTGGTCTCGTTATTTTAATTCAAAGAAAATTTGAAAATATTATTTATTTTTTTCTTGCTTTCAAGGAGACAGGATGCTAACATAAAATATGCAATTATGAACTACTATGTTCAATATTTATTTTCAGCATTATATCAATTGTACTCTCAACACACATGCACACACACACACACACGCTCACTCACTCACTCACACACTCAGCAAATTCTGAAATTTAGAAGTCAAAACCAATTCCAAATCCTGCTCTCTTCTTTTGAGTCTAACATATGGTTTCACTTACAATGGGTTCTCAAAAAATGCTTGTTGACAAACTGATTTCCACTAATTACTCTTCAAACACATTCTAAGTTTCAACAATTCTATAAGTTGGCAAAAAATAAGTTGATAAATTATTAAAGCTGGCATGAATGTCCTACCCCTAATATATGTACAAACTACATATGTAATTCAGGCACAAAAACATTTCTTAACCAATTGCTAGGTAATTATTTATGAGTATTGTAAACTTGCAAAGGGATTCCTTAAAATGGCTGATTTTGATATATATGTCAAACTCAGATATATACATATATGTGTGTATGTATTTTAGCTTGCCCATAAATATTTAAGATAGAACTATTTTTTAAAAACAATCATCATATATTTATCAAATATTTAAACCTTAGTCTACATATAGCAGTTTGAGATAATCAAAGAAAAGTCCTTTGACTTTTTCTCTTGCTTAGTTAGCAAGGTGTAGAATATGATTCATGAGGTATTTAACAACTCAAAAATAAACAATATGGGACTTAGCAAATGAATAATAGGTAAATTTAATGTTATATCACTATTCATAAAATATAATAAACTTTAACTGCACTTTATTAATAAAATTCTTTGATGAATATCATGATTATACTGAGGAAAAAATCAGTATAAGACAAATTTTAATGTTCTTCGCTGACTTAAAAATTACAGGTTTTTGTTTTGTTTCCCTCCCCCCCACACCATTATATAGCATTCTTTTTGGTGATAAGAGCTATAGCTGGTCAAGATTAGCAATTACCCATTGTAAAACTGCTTTTAACTAATGAAAAATAATCTGAAAATTCTGCCAGAATGTTAATACCTAATAAAAAAACTTCTTCAAAAATAAAAAAAGAAAAACCCACCAAGTATTATCTTTGCTTTGATTGCAAAAATATTTTTCACCATATTCCACTTGATCAGAAAACTTCTAGTATCAGACAGTAAGGAATGGCTAGTCACATCAATTGTGCTGTAAATCTTTTAGAAGATTATTATTTCTGATTTGCTAATATATAGAATGAATTTTATTATTTAATATTAAATTATTCTAATAATATAAAGCACAAAGAGTAAATTATCATGTTAAATAATTCAGAGGTGGGATTATTTGGATTTTCTTGTTGAAGAGAGCATCAAGATAAAGGACAAAAACAAGGGGCTCTTTAGATACAACACAGTTTACAAAACAGGAATGCAGATTGAAGAGCCACTGCTGAAAAAATCCACCATGTTCCCATGCCTAAATGCTGAATAATTCTTGGTCAGATCATCCTTTCTTTTACTGGCCAAATTAAATGATTCTGAGCAGAACAACCTAGCAATTTTTTTCCTCATAAAAAAATAGATGAAAAGGAATAAATGTTAACTGACAATAACAGAAGAGAACAACAAGAGTAAGTACAGGCTTATTCTAGAGAAAATAACTACCATAAGAATAAAGGTAGTAAAATTTAGGTCAAGAAGAATTTTAAATGGAAGATAAGTAATTTGATTCTGAAAGCTCACATTTAGTGTTTTAGAAAATTGAGAAAATAGACAAAAGGTCACATAAGAATCATGTTTTGAGTTTTGTATCTGTATAACAACAAATAAAGATTTCTATGTTCCACTATCTGGCCCACTTACTAAAATAGCATGTGTTTGATCAAATGAACTAGAATTCATGCAGTTTTGTGTTGATGATCACAATGGAATTTGAGCTTACATAGGGAGGTAAAGTGGCTAAAGCTTTGGATTGTAATGTTTGTAACTGGGAAGAATTGAAAAGAAACTAGAGCTTCTCAGAGATTTTAATGCTTATAAAAAGCAGGACACTTTCAGTTTTTCAAATGATAAGATTTCACTGAATGGAAGTAAAGAATGCAAATATAAATGTAAAAAGAGATGCACAAACATTAAAATAGATAAAGAAGAACTAAGAAATGCAACTGAGAGGAAAGCAAGCAAAGAAGGCTAAGAAAATAAAACAAAGGCATAGGATTTAACACTATTGGTGAAAAATATGTTGGTCACCTTTCTTGAATAGAAGATGAGAATAAAATGGAAACAAGAAAGCTCTGTGGAGGGTAGTAACAGAATTCTGTTAAGAAAAGTGATTTTGTCCACCCAAAGTATCCCTTCCCCCTCTATATATTCTGAGCAGCTGGAGCCATGTATCAGAGTAAAGTAAAAACATTCTGGGTTCTTTACATGGAAGGCAGATTGAGTCATGCCATGTGATTTCATTTAGGTCAACAGCACTCATATTTAAAGTACTTTCAATTCATCGCATGACTTAAATATTTGATAAATATATAATGATTGTTTTTTAAAAATAGTTCTATCTTAAATATTTATGGGCAAGCTAAAATATATGCACACATATTGTTCTTTTTATGTGTGCCTTCAGAGCATTTCAGGCCTACAAACTATTAGAAAAACCTTTTCATTTGATAGTGAGTGAAACCCCAGCTTACTGATGGATACCTAAAATGGAGGAATTTAAAGTTATCCCTTTCAAAATTTTATGCATTCAAAACTTTTACTTTACTGGCAATAATTGATTCAGAATGTCAATCAACAAAAATAAGTGATTCAAGATAGGATTTATTTTTCAGTGGTTTACTTACTGACACAGTCAGGTTCTCCCAAATTATGTCAGAGGCTGAAATATTGGATTCCCTCCATTCCTTCAATGTATCATTGCTGGGATTATGTGGCTCCACACAGTTACATCTGAAAAGACAAAATAAGGTCTTTTCTGAAATAGCTTTTTGTCACAGTACCCAAAACACATATAAAAATGGTCCTTTCTCCCCACTCACAGAATTTCTCCAGCTGACAAGCAATTAGGATAGACTATTCCAAAAATCAAGACAGATATATTTCTGTGATACTCGACCACTCTATAGTATTTCCTGGAATGAGAGGCCCTAACATAACCACTTGCCTCTAAATTATACATGAAAAAATTTTAAGCATCCAAATCTATTGTTATACCACTTACCCATTATAGTTAATATTGTATAGCCATATCAATTTTAAAAATATAAGTAAATCATATTGTCAAGATAATTTATAACTGCTATGAAATTCAAAATTAGAGCCTGAATTAAGTCAGAACCATAGCTATCTCAGGATGTACTATTCTTTGTGAAAAGTGATAATCCTATTAAACATCAAATAATCAATAAACAATTTTTTTTCTGAGTGCCATGAATACAATGCCATGATCAATACTAGATTCTTTAAAAAGAAAGATTTGAGAACAGTTGTATTTTTATGCCATATAAAATACAATTTCTGGAGTGAGATGAAATCTTAGAGTGGTTTTGATTTGCATTTCTCTAAATACTAATGATGATGAACATTTTTTCATATATTTTGTTGATTGATTGTATATCCTCTTCTGAGAAGTGTCTGTTTAGGTCCTTAGACCATTTATTGATTAGGTTATTTATTTTTTTGGTGTTTAGCTTTTTGAGTTCTTTATATATCCTAGAGATTAGTGCTCTGTCTGATGTGTGAGGGGGAACCAACCTAGATGCCCTTAAATAGATGAATGGATAAAAAAAATGTGGCATATATACACAATGGAATATTACTCAGCAATAAAAGAGAATAAAATCATGGTATTTACAGGTAAATGTATGGAGTTGGAGAAGATAATTCTAAGTGAAGTTAGCCCAATCCCCAAAAAAACAAAAGCCGAATGTTTTCTTTGATATAAGGAGGCTAATCCATAGTGGGATAGGGAGACAAGCATGGGAGGAATAGATGATCTCTAGATAGGGCACAGGGCTGGAGGGGAAGGGAGAGGCATGGGGATATAAATGCTGGTGGAATCTGATGATCAGTATTATTCAAAGTACATGTATGAAGACAAAAAATGGTGTGAATATACTTTGTATACAACCAGAGATATGAAAAATTGTGCTGTATATGTGTAATAAGAATTGTAATGCATTCTGCTGTCATATGAAAATACAATTTCTGACCACATGTTATTTATAACTTTATAAGCTATTGAGAAGAGAATATAAGCAAAGACAACTAACAAAAGTATGGCCTTCTACATGAACCTCAATTAATGAATAGTTTGTTTTCCAAAAAGTCATTCATATTCCTGCTATTTTGCCATTCAGAATGCATTTTCTAAGAGAAACATTTTGTAAATGGTGGTTGGGCTCCAAGATAATCCACGTATAGTACCAAAGATGAAATTTCACTGGAATCCTGTTTTAGTTGTTTTGATATAACTGTATAATCTAACCACTATTGCTAAGATTATAGCTGTGGAGAAAATTTTATAATTTATACTTGGTAAACCTCTGTGTACCTTAGCCACAATCTCTCTTCATCATCCATATCAGGAAGTTTGGCTGTTTTGCTTTTCCACCATTCTTTCATGCTTCTCAGAGTAGAGGGTCTATCTATTATTTTGAGAAACTCTACTTGATCTGGGCAAGATGGACAGGCATGGTTCTTGCTCTCATTAAGGGATATTAGAGGATTCTCCAGCTGGGCTCACTTGTTGATGGGTATCAGAGGCCAGAGGAGTGAGGAAGTTGGTGACAAGGGTTTTAAAGGAATGGAATACACAGGCTGTAGCTGCTACAATCAGCTGCACCGGCCTGTGTCAGCAGAAGGGAAACAAAGACACTGGAGATGTCTATTACTAGCCTAACAGACATTGATGAATGCAAGTTGTGCCCAAGTGCCAGATTGGTTGTACACAGTCACAGAACACAGGATTTTGTACTAGACAGCTCTATCATTTACTGACTGAGACCATGGGCAACTTACTTAACCACTCTAAATCTGTTTCCTCATGTGTGAAATGGAGACAAAAAAGCTTACCTACCAAAACTGTTGTGAAAAATAAGTAACATGTAGGTACCTCTGGAACTATGCCTGACATCATCATGCTCATCATCACTACTGTTTTCTGGTTCATTCTTCAGTCTTGTACAAAATATAAAACTCAACTTTCATCTTGATGTAACATAAAAGGAATCCTAGTGCTTTCTGTAATATGCTAGCACTCTCTTTGCTTTGCTTCAAAGTAAATATATACAGTGAGCCCTCCATAAAACAGGTTCTGCATCTGCAGATTTAGCTTAGCCATGGATTGAAAATATTCTGGGGGTGGGGACTGCCTCTGTAACTGAACACTTACAGACATTTTTTCCTTGCTATTTTTCCCTAAAGAATACAGTATAATAACTACTCACATAGCATTTACATTGTATCAGGTATTATATGTTACAGAGATGATTTTAAAAATACAGGAGAATGCAAGTAGGTTATATGCAAATATCATGCCATTTTATGTGAGGGAGTTGAGCATCGGCAGATTTTAGTATTTGTAAGAGGTCCTAGAACCAATCACCCAAGGATACTAAGAGATGACTAAAATGTAAAAGAGAGAAAATATGGCCAGTTTATTGTAGAGGAAACATAATAAGGGAGAAAGACAGCACTATAGTAAAAATGAATACACCCTTGTGCAAATGGGTTTACACACATACATATGATTTCTGTAGCTACTATCTGTCTATATAAATAAGTCATGCATATAGCTATATGCATGATAGGAGGCACATTATGTTTTCTAGACTAATAATTTAATTTCCATATGATATTGAGGGAAAACCTAAATATTTGGTAACTTATCCAAAAGCCTGTGCTGATAGAATTCGATTTGAATACATCTCTTTGACCCTGTAACTCCTGCTATTTCAGCTATAATATGATGCTTCTAGATGTGACTTGGTGCCATTTCTAGCAGTATAGTTAGAAAGTGAGGAGACTCGAAACAAATGAAGCAACCTACGTTGTGCTATGTGTTTCTCCTTGTTTTGTTTTTCAGGACCTATGTGTCCTCCAAAGCACCATGTAGCCTTGCCTTCATATCATGACAACTATTTCACCCCCACCCCCCTCAGTCCTGATGTCCAGTGTCATATTTCTCTTAACCCCATATAAACCTGGTGATATGGCTTTCCTTTCACCTTGTTTGTCATGTGTACCATTCCTCAGGCCATGTTCTCTGCTGCCCAAAGTAATCATATGTGCTAGTGGATAAAAGGGCATAATGTGTAACTGTATTCCTGGCTGTGTATTTACTTTTACACTTTAACTGACTCAATGAAAGTGCTAAGCTACAAATACCATGTAAAAATGGCAATCTCATAGGAGAGACATTTTTGCACAGCTAGGTGTTCAAGTGGATGTGGGTTATTTTCGCCTTTATCAAGACTCTCTCTGGCAAATAACTTTCCTCATTTGTAAGTCAATTCCAAACTGTAAAAATATGTTTTCATCTAAAATATTTACTTTGTATATCACAGACATCAAGGATAGCCAAGAAAGCCACTGTTCCTTCCTGAGTCAACATATCTGATAACTGGAATCAGTGGACAGTTCTCAGAGGCTGTATGATTGTGTGTAAAGTTTAAAAAGATCTCTGTGCCAATCCTTGGTGGCCCAAAGAAGGGTCCTGACTGTTCAGTTCTTACGTTTTTAAACATGAGAAGCAGATATTCTGACTCCATAAATTAAAAATGAAATGAGAAAAATATCATTTTCTGTACCAATAAACTTGGTCCAAATTATTCTAATTCCAACTATAAAAAAGGAAGAAAAGTACATTAGAAATAACACATGAAAAGATGGAGTTTGAGTTCAGAAAAAGTTCTTCTGCTAATCTCATCCAAAATAATTTCTAGTGATTCTCACAATACGATAGAAGAATTAACACGTGCACACACACGCGCGCGCACACACACACACACAAATTCTTTAGGTGCATACTGTCACTTAGGATACCAGAGCATCCAACCAAATTTCTTATGTTCATTCAACTAAGTGATTTTGTACAAGTAATTTAAGCATTCTATGCTTTGATTTATCTATAAAGAGGTGATAATGATAGTAGTCTACTTTACAGGGTTATTATGAGGATAAACGAGTTAATACAGGTGAAAATACATATTGATTAGGTGTTAGGTATCATCGTTAAACATTACAGTTACCATTGATTATAAGGTAGAAAGGGCAGTATCTGTACTTCACTGTTTTTACTTTATTTTACTTCTCCACATTTTTTATAAACACCAATTTAAAATGCCAATAATTTTTACTTGTGATATTGGATCACTTGGCTTAAAATGCACTTTTTACCAAAAACATCCTCTGCTACCCTTTACTACCCACGGAAAAGCATGTGCTCTAAGCCATCTTGTTTATCTAAATGGCTGCAGAGTGATTAGATAAACATTATAATTAAATGCCCTCATCCAGAAGTCTTTGCTTTGGTTTCTAGGCTAATGGAGGTGATCAGTCTTCCTTACACAAGAGAAGCCTGCGGCTGCCTTCTGGAAATACGGTTTGGTAAAACTCCCTTCACCACTATTACTAATTTTAGTCCCCGGGTTGCAGATGCTCTCCTTTTGCCTTTGTGGTTATTAATAGTACCTTCCTGTGTGCACTGAACAGTAATGGTTCGTGATTCATTTTTTTTTTTTCAAGCCTCTTTATTGACTAAATTAGCTTCCAGAGTGCTGTGTAGCAAGTTAGGAATGAATATAAGGCATAAAATCAGAAAATCATGACCTATCTGTAAAGTCAAACATGGCTTTAAAATGATTTTGTTTTGTTTCAAAAGTACTTTGAATTACAAAGAATAACAAAACCACACTACAGAATACAAGTTAAAATAAAAAAAGAAAAAG